TCCAGCTCTAGACTAGCGCCGACTTTTCTTTGTCTGCGACCGATCCACAGGGCAAAGCTCCTTTGCAGCCCCTTGGCAATAAAACATTCAAAGACAACGGTCTCAAGGGCGAGGGAGAGGCTATCAGCCACGCAGCATTACGGCAATTTCCCGACCTTCTGCTGTTTGAAAGTACCTACCCGTGTGAAGGGCTAGGTATTCTTTCTGGCCTTTTCGTTCTGACATCACAAGTAACAACCGCCCATAATCGCCTCTCAGTGTTGGCCCTTACGAAATAACCACCAATTCAAGACTTGTGAGAACCCATACGGGTCCGCTGACCAGAAACACAGTCTTGAAGCCGAAACACTCCGAGCTCTGGATGACTTCAGCAGAGCTCCATTTTGCATACCATAGAGATAAGGCCACTGTAAATAGGTCGTCACGGTGTGTGGCGTGGCTGTCTACTGGCACACTGGCCACCCAACATGGCATTCATCAGAAAAGGTTGGTGGGTGTCTCGAGCTGAGGGCAACTTTTGACGGACTTATGCAAGGGGTTGCCTGCCTCTGCCATGTCCCGTACATGACGATGCTTAGAGTTCATCATTTCGTATCCGTCAATTTTGCAATCGGCCGAATGGAGACTGGCCGGACTATGTTCCTCATTTTGATCTCCCTTTGAAAAAGCCACTGTACCTGCAAATCCTACATTGATTGTCTCTTAGCCGCACCATTACTGGCGCCGTGCCTGTCAGCACAGACTTGAAGGGTCCGTCCCTCTTGACGCCAGTGGATCCACCGGCTCCGTCATTGGGATTCTCCCCTCGGGCGCGGCGGCAATGTCGGAAACGGCGGCCAAGCCGGCACCCGGCTGCGGCACCCGGGGCGGGTAACGACTTCAAGTTGGAATCCGTCGGCCGGCTGGCGAGTAAGTAGAATGATCAGTCACTAGAGTCCGAATCTTATAACAAGATTTCGCAACCCTGATATGGCTCGGAAGCTATTCAATATCCCCATCTATGCACTCTACAATAACTAGAGACGGACAGAAAGCGAAATGAAAAACTAAAAAAACCACAATGAGACGACCGATCGAGGAATCGAACTTGGATCCCGAAATAAGCAGGAGACTTCACTGCCTAACCGGGGCCTCTGCAGTCCGATCAACCCCTCGACCATACGGCCCAGATGCTTGTTGTTAGAATGGTGACGATGATTCATTGACTAAGTAGTAAGCCTCGCGGTCGATCCTGCTCGTATTATCGGGTACCTTATTCATAGTCAGGCAGTTCGTACCTCAGGCGTCCTGGAAAGGAGTGGCTCGCCTTGGTTGTCCGTAAGAGGCTAAAGTGAGCATCACTACAAAGTTGACAGAGGCCGTGATCGCGTACAACATCGTCTCTACTGAGTGACCCTTGCAGCGCCATTTGCGAGTTGATGAGAAAGCCAGCTCTACTAATCACCACTTTCGCAGCCCGATAGGCCCCGTACAGCTCCAATGCCTGAACGCAAGCTTGTTATTCTCCACCTCGTCAACGATGGCAACCGCCATATCCTCATTATAGATTCCATTCTCCGCTGCCTCTGTCGCCGGGTCTTCGGGCGTGTCGATGAAGATCTTGTACTCTCCAGTCCGCACGCCTAGACATTGTCCTTAGAGTCAGTCTCTCGAGTCTGCCAGGTTTTAAATCGAAGACAGGAAGTTGAGGAGAAGAGACTGACCTTTATCACGCAAGAGAGCTGGAGGTGAGAGGAAGGTCCACGACTTTTCAGTGACGCCGTTCCACATCGTGAAGGCCATCCGACACATGGTGATTAGAGCAATGGTCTTCTTGTCCGTCATGCAGCGTTTGAGCCAGCGTTGGACTAGATACGTCACCGGTCTCAGAAGCCAGGAGTAGACTGAACACTTGTTAGTGGCCAGGCTTTTGCGTATTCCTTTCCCGCCGCGGCGAAACGCTTAAGAATATGAGAGACTTACATCTCGGTCGCTGGATGTGGCTTCTGCTCCACTTCATCAATACGGCGACGACGCTGATGAACCGGCTTCCGTGATCCAGGCCTCGCGCGGTCATGTAGTCGAGGTGCTCGTCTGGCCAAGTCCACCTAGTCAACCAGCGCTATTAGTTCCAAGTTCTCTCCAATATGTGAGGTGAGGGGGTTCGCATACCACCAGCTGTACGCAAAGTCCTTCTGATCTGTGAGTTGAAGACGGTTTGCGACGTGAATAGATCCCGCTCCACCTGGTACCCTCAAAACTTCAGCAACAAATTTCTCATAGATACTGAATCCCATCACCGGCCTTGAAATCACATACCAACAATAATAAAAGGGCCATCATGCGTCGAAGCCAACAGTGCCGTCTTCATCCTCCCATGCGCCTCGACGCCGTCCTCGTACACGGTATCCAGATTCGCCAAGCTGGGCCCATAGGCGCACACGATGGCGTCAAAGTCTGACGAGAAGATGTCGATGAGCTTCTTCTGCTCGGTGTAGATGTCGACAGAGGTCGAGGTGTATGATCCGTCGCCGGTGCCTTGCCTCCATTGCTTTGGGGGGTTGCGGGAGACGCCGACGACGGCATGGCCTCGCGTGAGGAGCTCGTCTACGACGCAGCTTCCGGCTTGGCCTTTGGGGCCTATCACTGCGACGCGGAGTTTTTTGGAGGACATTTTTTCCGAGTGAGAGGGCTGCTAGTAGGATGAACTTTGTGGGGAGCGGAGGCTTTGCAGGCAATTTTGGGAATTTATACAGTACTAAGGTAGTATGCATATTTGTGGCGGTAGAGAACTTAAGCATTGGTGTAAGCATCGTGCCTTGGCGGGTTGACGCCCGTCCGTCAAGCGAGCACCATTAGATCCTAAATCCGTAATACCGTTACAGAAACCCGATTCGAATCTCTCAGATGGTGTCACATATTGCTGAGGGTGTCGAGTACGAGCCACTCGTAAGATACCTCACTCGGGACGGGCCAAGGGCCCGAGTGGCCGGCGTCGGGGGCTACCCCACCCCCGCAAACGGGATGAGGGGCAAGTCCGAGCCGCGAACTGACGGGGACGACTGCCGTTCACTAATGCCGGGTTGCATGTGTATTCTCTCCCACGTTTATGTAAGTTGAGCCGCCTGAGATTGTGACAACCTGGCGACGATCACTATTCAGATACCGTTAGTCTATACTTAATATATGTAGATTGATGGGGTTGTATGACGGATATATCCGCCTGGAAGCTGATGTTGATTGCTTCAGCCTTGGATGAATGACTGCAGTTGGTGCTGACTTTCACAAATAGGCAAGTTCAGATCAAGGCATCCGTCGTCATCGTTGAATCACTCCCGGATAGATCATCCGAATGCTTAGAGGAATATACAGAATACTTACGTGGAAATTTGTGATACAAGCCCAAGGTATATGTCCCCCCTTTTAATTCCATTTCCGTCACCAGCCAGCAGGCGCCCGTCTAGGTCGACGGGTCAGGTCAAAGTGGCTGGGTGGTGGAGTGGTCTAAGGCCAACAATCAACACGCCAACCAGCCTACTCGACGACAGGCTTAGCGAGTACCCGAGTTCGAATCCCAGCATGAGCACCAAGAGATGTAGCCTACCGAGGTGAACTCTTTTTCTGGATTATCTTCAACAAATTCTACATGGTCCTTCAGATGATTCTCGGCTGTTGGATTAAAGACACCTTCGCTTCAACATTCTCACAATCAAGATCCGATCAATCAGATCCTGACTCATAATTCTACTGTTCTTTTTCGCGCTAAGCGCAACAGTCTACCACTTGCGAAGCTGAAGCTGCTCCTCTCACTTCTGCCTCATAGTAGCCAGCGCATATGCCACGGTAGGCCCCCGGATCGGGAAGGGCCCATCCGCGGCCATGCTCTGGCCTTGACCAAGTCCCACAATGCCCCCGGAAGCCTCTCGGTGTCCGAAGGGTGATCGATGAGAATCCTGAAGACGAACTCGCCAAAGCCATCCTCGGCGAGACCCCGGTAGTCCCCCTTCGTGGAGAGGCTAGCGAAGCCTTAGTCGTCTGCGGTGCGAATCGTACTGATTCCTGTCTCAAAGGCATCGACTTCGAAGGCGACTGCCTAGACGCCTAGATCAACGGGCCCTTTCTGCAGGCTCTCGTCTAAGACTACGTGTACAGTCATGTTGTGGTCAGTCTGCCGGAGCCTTGGTGCGAATCGCTCGCCGAATGCGAAAGCCGCAATTGTGGGGCCAGAAACATCGGGACCGGGGCCGACGACGCAGGGGCCGGAGCACCAATGGCCTTTTCGGAGAGACTGAAAATCCCCATGCAAGCCCATCAGGGACACGTATTATTGTAAGCTCTCTAGACATGCTACTACTGACGGTACCGCTTGCCATTGTACAATACTTAACAATTAATCATTATGGTAATCTTTGATAGCTTGAACTTCAAAATCATTTTGAGAATTCTGAAACATATGAAGGCGGGCCACGCCAGTAAAATCGCAATCCTATCGAACTCTATACAAATCTAACAAGAAAGCCTATTTGCGAGACAGGCCGGTCGGCGGGATAACCTCCAAGTGGAAGGGAAGTCCGATCAAAGAGGGCGAGACTGTTGTGCCGGTGCTGATAAGACTAGTGGCAGTAGACGGTAGCAAGCTGTCTGTACTGCTAGTCAAAGGGGGAGTGAAGGTTCGAGCGGTGGAGATCGTAGTGTTGGAGAAAGGTGGATCACTTGCGGTGATAACTGTGGTAGGTGAAGAGAGCCCGTCCCTCGATGTATTCGACAAAGTGGTGGCTGTTGCGCTACTGCTCGTCGTACCACTAATTGTTGTTCCAGAGGAAGAACTGGCCGTAGTACTCGTAGTTGAAGTTGGGCTGGCAGGAGTTAATCCACTTGTCGTCGAGGGCGTGCTGGTCGAAATCAGACTAGAAGCGGACGTTTTTGTCGTACTAGTGTCGGCACTGGTGAGGTTAATGGCGGGTGTTGTAATGCTGCTTCCTGACGAAAAGGGAGTTGTGGCCAGCGTACTATTTGTATCACTAGAAATTGTAGAGGATGATGGTGTGGAGAAGTTTGAAGACAATGTCGAGGAAGGAGAGTCTGAGAAGGACGATGACGTAGAGGAGAAGGTTGATAATGTCGAAGAAGGAGAATTCGAGAACAACGATGAGGTAGAAGATAGAGTGGAAGTTGACGTCAACGAAGAAGAATCTAAGGGTAACGATGTTGTAGAAGAGAGGGTTGAAGGGAACGCCGATGAAGTTGTATCTGAGAATGAAGACGTGGAAGAAGAGGTTACAGATGATGTCGTGGAAGGAGAATCCGGGGATGATGACGAAGTGGAGGAGATAGTTGAAGAGGTTGATGTGGGGGAAGTTGAGGGGCTGGTAGACGTGAAAGTCGTGTCAGATGTCGTTTGAGAGGTTGTTGTCACAACCGGGGATGATGCAGAAGTAATCGTGGAGGTTGACGACGCACTCGACGAGGTGCTACTCGCTGTTGTTGCCGTAGACACTGTTGAAATGGCATAGACAATATATAATGGAATTCCATTGTCATAGCCACCACACGGGAGATTGATAGGGAAAGAGATCCCAAGAATAATCGGCGGTAGTACTTCGCTACATGAGATGGTGCAAAGCTGTTCGTCTGGTGGAGGATCGGCGGCAAACTCGATGCTGGTTATACCGTCCTTGGAGCAGTAGCACTTCCCATCGAGTAGTAGTGAAGCAGCACGCGAGCTAGCGATGCATGTATCTTGGCATTTTGTAGGGCCATTGGTCGTCGGATCGTCATACTGAAGCTCTAAAACATTGGCCGCGTCGGTGACCGCACCGCAGCCTTGATAGGAGTAAGGCAGTTTGGAGACAAAGAAACCCATTGTTGCAGGTATCGGCCTCAGCAATTGAAGGAAATGACATTAGAACATGATTTTCGATGCGAGAGAAAGAAGCTCTGGATTTTAAGACTTGCGACCGTCTGAATTAGCAAGGCGTCTTTGCGATGGCAGTCAGGGGGAAACAGGGAGGGTTTTGGAATTGACTACTAAGCCACATCATTTTCTATGGGAACGTTGTGCGACGACGAGGAAATTGACACGGCTGTAGACAAAAGAGGCTACTTGAAACATGGTTCTGGATTGAAGATAGTTAATCATCTCTGATCTCCCGTCTGATCCAGCCGAGAATTCCAACTCGAGCTGTAATAGTACCTGCGCGATGATTGGGTCTTGTACCAATGTTTTGATCACAATTACCGAGACAGTCTCAGCCCTTGCCTCGGAAGCAGCGATGACCGTTGGCGCACCTATTCAAACGGCCCGTATTGGGCGAAAGCGGCACCCAGGGATGGCGGAAAATCGTTGTTGATTACTCTAAGCAAACTTGAGCCCCCTCCGCGCTTGTTAGAACGATGCCCAAGTGCTGCCTCTCCATCCCTACAGGCTCATTAGGTAAACCGGGAGGAATTCTAATACCGGGATATCTTTGCAGGAGCCTTATAATTGCATAGCTCGACTCCATAAGTGCGTAATCCTCTGCCCGAGGCGTCAACACAGCTCGTATTTCCAGTCGTGCGGACAGAGTAGAGGAGGGCGCACTCACTGCCGAGACAGACGCGAGGTCCACCATGAAAATCCAAGAAGCCGCCCATCCCAGCTTTGCGGATCAAGTTACCGTCCTCCCATCGACTTGGTCGGTAGACGCGAGCATCAGGGCCATATATAGCTTCGTTCCGGTGCAGATGATACGTAGACCATCCAAGGCCAGCACCTTTCCGGATCAGGACAGGGGATTCACCATTAGGCCCACCGCCGCGGGGCAAGACAGTTGTCCGAGTCGCAAAACGAACATTGACAGGAAGCTGTGGATATAGACGAAGTGCTAGTGTAACCTTAGCCAATCACACACGTACCTCTAGCAAGATATGATGGGCCGGCAGTGACTTACTCTCATTCATGCAACACCTCAGGAACGGAAGTTCTTGAATCTGCTTCCGTGTAAGAACGCCATGGCCGGGGATTCCTGCGCTGGCCATCTCAGACTTCAGCCGTCGAATCAACTCTGGGTTACGGACGAGATGAAAACTTTGAGCTGTTTAGCATACCAGCCATGAGCCATATAAAACGTGAACCTGGTAACTTACAATGTCCAGCTAAGAAGACAAGCCGTTGTATCTCTGCCAGCTATAAGGACATGTAACAACTGGTCCCGAACGACATTCCGGTCATGTGTATCGCGCCAGAGCTCTACGATAAAGGAGTATTTAGCTAAGGCAGCTTCTTCGCCGTGTTCCTCCATGAAGTCCAGTGCTTTGTTAGAGAAGAAGGTGGCCCAGTCCCGGACACCCTTGCAAGCCTCCCGGAACTTTTTCGGGGTATAGAGCCAAGCAAGATCGGCAAGACGAAGTCTTATAGCTGAGATCAAGGTTGCGTAATCAAAGTTGTTGCGGAGAGCAAGCCGTTCCTTCCGAGGCAGGTTGTGATGGGGCTCGCCAAAGAGAAGCTGCGTAGTGGTGCCCAAGGTGTACTCAAAGAAATGAGGCTGCATATCCACAACGCCAGACTTTTGTGACTCGATCTCGAGGGCACGTAGAAGAATGTCAGTATGCTCTCCGAATGCCATCAACTCGGAGTCTCTGATCCGTGAGAATTGGCGACGCAGCAGCTCCCGAGAGTGGCGCCAAGCAGGTCCGTCTTGCGTAAAAATACCTTCACCAAGCAAAGGCATAAGTCCCATCCGGCGAGACCCTAAATTAAAGTCTTCGAAACGAGTGCTCAAGATGGCTTCAATGTTGACGGGATCGGTGATGATGTAGCCTTCTCCAAGAATGTCAATCCGCAGAGTTGGTGCGATGTTCATGTACTGTGTCTGGAACTCTAGTAAGCGACCGCCGGGCAAGGCATCGTACTGGCATTTGAGAAGATCTAGTGCGAAAGGCCACTTGTATGGTAGAGTCGCCTGAACCGGTTCGCAGCCGTATTTGGCTGAGATAGCTTCCTCCTCCTGCTTAGCTCTCTGGTATCGCACATACCATCTGACGCAGTATATCAGTGCTCCAGCAAGAAAAAGAATTCGACAAACCAGAAACAGCCAATGGCTATGTTCAAAAACACTTTTAACATGTAAAGATCGCATCGCCAGGGCTATGTGTTACTTTGTTGAGACAATGGATTGGTATTGGAGCCTCTGAACTTGACAGATGGACGTCATACATAGCGAGAGAAACGAAACAGCCGGAGAATTCAAAGATAATTCGAGGCTAATCAAGCCGTTATAGTGTCTAAATTATAAACATGGCATGATGAGCCGGCATACATGTCTTTGTTGGTTTGTCAATGGAACGCATTCCCTGTTGGTTTGGTAAAGGTGACAAACACTTGGCAGAACCATCGCAGCGGCCCGATTGGATACGTGAATCAACAATGACAAACACACTGTTCTTACCGCCGCCGGGCTGTTGTTATGGATCCCAGAGCCCGATTCCCGCTGGCTGTACGGGAGAAGCACAGCGGTCGTGTTTGGGGTTCGTCCGACGTCGAACACTAGAATGCGAAACTTGATTAACTACGTTTCAATAGAAGATTTCCACAAGATTCTGAGTACTCGTTTGATATTTACAAAGATGAACGCTAGTGTACATGTATTGTTGGAATATTGACGTTAGAGAAAGGGATTCGGAAGGTGGTCTGGGCCGTTGCACACGGCCTTTCTACCCACTTCTACCCAACGGAGGATTCGTGGGCTCTGCTCACCAACTTCCTCCTTCCATACACACACGCAGTTCAATATGAGAATATTGAGCTTCGCACCGACCGAAAGAACCGATTTGCTGACATGTATACCGACATGTATGTTTTGTTGATGGTACAGGCAAGAAGAGTTGAAGTATACCGACAAAGAAAGCCATCATGGCCTTGTGAGGAGTCTTGACCAGTGATAGGAGACGTCCTGAGAAAGCTATCTAGCACCCCTTACAACAGCGAAAATTTGATCGATTCCAGTAGGTTCCTCGAACTGAAGCCAACATGGAGCTGAAAATCTCCTACGGGGATACGCCAAGTCTGAGCATCAGTGTCCCAGTAGCTGAAGTCTCGGCGGTTCAGCTTGAAAGCAACCACGCGAGTCTCACCTGGACCCAGCTCAACTTTTGCGAAACCTCGAAGTACCTGGACAGGCGTGCCAGAAGGAGCCGAATCAGTGGGCAGTGACATGTAAAGTTGAACGACGGTTGCGCCGCTTCGGTCACCAGTGTTCATTACTTGAACCGTCGCGTTCGCCACAGGAAGGAAGAGGTCGCTCAGAGGTACGGACGACTCATTTGCAGCGCGAGCCAAAGGTGCCAGCTTTGCTGTCAAAGCCTTGACTGATAGCTCAGACGTCAGTTCGAAAGTCGTGTAGCTCAGACCGAATCCAAACTCGTACAACGGCTCGATTCCCTCGGCGTCGAAATGACGATAATCGATATTCAGACCCTCGGTAAAGTTGGCCTGCCACGCACCAGAAGAAGACACTTCATCGCGGGTCAGGTTCGTAACCGGGATGTCATAGTCCGCTTCAGTCTTTGGAATGGTGTAAGGCAGTCTACCAGACGGGTTGACGTCGCCCCAGAGGACGTCAGCGATTGAATTGCCGGTCTGTTCGCCAGGCAGGTGAGCGGCGATGATGGCACGAACATTAGGATGGCTGGCCCATGGCATGGTGTTGACACCGACGGAGTGAGTGATCACAACAGTATTGTTGCACATATTTGCAACCTGCGTGACCACTGCTGTGGAGTTCCAATCTGCTTCAAAGGAGACGCGGTCGAATCCCTCTGCGGCAAAGGTCTTGAGAAAGACGATGCATACATCGGGCACGGGATAAATGCTATGAAAGTCCCCTGCTGCGAGACGTTCATTGTTGAGGATGTACTGCACGCGGGCCCCAAAGCCCTTGGCTCGCTCCTTGATGGCGTCCAGCGGGGTAACCACGTACGTATGGCGAACGCTACTAGAGCCCCCGCCAATGTCCAAGGTTCCGTACTCGAACCCGACGTTCGTTGCAGGAGGGTCTTGGTAGATCAAGCCGTCCGTCAAGTCTCCAGCATCATTACCAAAGACTCCAATGTTCATAGGAGTCATGAGAGGCAGCGTGTTATTGTTTTTGAGCAGGACAACACCGGCGGCCCCTATTTCTCGGATGAGCTTCGCATGGTCACCACGTACATCTCTGGCAGGAGTGTTGCTGACAAGATCTCCCAAGTTTTGTTGATACTGGGCTGCGATGACTGAGAGAGTTGAAGGATCTAGGCTCGGGAAGCTGCCATCATCTTGGCCCAGGAGGTAGTACTGGGTCATGATACGACGGACCATCTCGTCTAGGCGATTTGTGGAAACGCTGCCATCTAGCACGGCATCTTTGATGTGGCTTCCAAACCATGAAGTACCCTGTCCAGGTACAGTTGTGCCAGGCATTTCCATATCCAGGCCAGCGTTGATAGAGGCTGCAGTTGAGTGTGTAGCATACCAGTCAGACACGGTGTATCCCTCAAACCCGAGTTCATCCCGCAGGATACCAGTTAACAGCTTGGAATGCTCGCAGGTGTATGTCTGGTTGAATCGATTGTAACTGCACATGACTGCGGCAGGCTTCGCGTTGACCGCATCCATAAAAGGCCAGAGGTAGAGCTCGTGAAGGGTTCGGTCGTCCATGTTGGTAGATACGGCGTCGATGTTGGATCCATCGGGAAGGGTGACATTAGTGCGTTGCGTTTCTTGCTCGTTGCCGATGAAGTGCTTCGTGATTGCCTGGACGCCCATGCTTTGGAGGCCTCGAATAGAGCGATCCATCGCGATGCCGGTGAGGTAGGGATCGGGAGAAAACCCCTCCCAGACACGACCTCCCAGCGGATGACGGCCGAGTGGTCCTGCCACGGGACTTAATTCCAACATGTTAGCACAAGAACGCCTGATTCCATGAGAACGCCAAGGCTTACCCTAAACAAGCATGCATGCCCTTTGCTCGAAATTCTTCACCGATGGCCACCGCACGACGGTACATTAAGTCCGCATCCCAAGTTGCAGCAGCTGTCAAACCGGCTGGGAACACACTTGTGAGATCGGCACGGTTCACGCCAGACGAACCATCTGAGTAACAGATGCCGGAGAAGTTGAGACGCGGGATCGCGCCAATACTGCCGATGCAACCAAGGCCGGTCAGCGGGTTCGCGCCTGTGACGACTGCCGTTTTCTCTTCGAGGGTGAGCTCTGCTAGAATTGCATTGGCCTTCGAAACAGCGGTGTTCCAGTCAACTTCATGATTGTTAGCTGCGACTTCCACCGCCTATTTTGAATACGATCATCAGCTTACCAGACGTGTTAGCTACAGCGGAGGCGAAGCCAGCGCAAAGCAATGCAGAAAAGACAGTCGAACGCATCTCAGTGTTCTCAATGGCTCTGGATGTAAGAAGTAGGTAAATTATGGACTGAGATCGAACAAAAAGAGCCACAAGTTGAAAGGAGGTCACTCTTATAGACATTGAATACCAACATTACAAGCCTCTGCATAGGTGCATCGATTCCAAGTCGGTGAGCCAGGCTCAAGGTCTCTTCCTCCATCTAAGTCTGCCTTACCAAAATAGCAGATACCGATCGTCGACCTAAAGGATCTCGAGGTTGGTGGACTAAATACACGTATTTGCGAAAGTCGATCTATACTTCCCGAAATGGAAATTTTTCGGCGCGGGTCGTTAAGCCTGGGCCCGGCATACACGTATTTTCTACACTGCCACGTTCGGGCCGGTGTTAAGCTTAAAGAACTACGACTTTCTCATGTTCTCTGCCAAATGAGTGTCAACATGATATGTCGGTTGATCAAGATTATAACGCTTAGTTACTTGCATAATATTACTATTTTTCTTATTCCTTTTATTTTCATCATTTCCACTCTTACTCTTATTTCTTGAAAGTTCACCAGAGGACACTCTTCAAACAATGAATAGAGATAGGGGTGGTAGGAATTAGGATAAGAGGAACAGAGCCAGGGGGGGGTTCCTATTGAGCGGCAAACGATTGTGCCACCTCTTGGCTTGCTTCTGTGTTGAGCTTCGGGTGCCTGAAATTGACCTTGTTCCGTCAAGACTGCACAGTATTATTGATGTCAAAAAGAAGAAGAGAAAGAAGGAAAAGGAAAAGAAAAATAGAGACATGATGTTTCTGTAGAGTGGGGTGGGCCTTGGAGTCTTCAGCTCCGCTTACACACCCTAGCCCATCTACCTCACACCATACTGGATGAAGATGCTGATGATGGGTGTTGTGGACAGTCAATGTCCCTCAGGAGATCGCTGCCTAATGCCCTACGTTTTTGGAAGCTAGTGAGATACACGTATTTCGGGAGGCACTATTCTCTGGCTTGTTGCCTATCAAGCGTATGCAAATCGCTTGTTTTATGCACCGCCAATGGCTGGCCCTCTTGACCTCACGATCGGAATCAACTTAAAAACTTGCCTCGCCTACTTCGAGAACCTAGATTGTTTCTTGCTAACCACCTTTTCAGCTGCTCCTCCTTTAGCCAAACCTTTGCCTTTTTCAATCATGTTCTCAAGCTTACTACTCGCTGCCCTATCAGGAGCGGTAGCGGCCACCTCCTTTTCCAACCCGGGAAACCTCACTCTCAAGTACTTGGTATCCCTGCCAACCTTGAGTTCTGGGACGGAATGTGCCTGCAATCAGCTTTTCAACAGATTTGGAAACGCCCTCCTGAACATGGACTCAAACGACTATACGACTCAAGCCCAAGACTTTTACGACATCCGGGCAGCCCTTGAGCCAAGATGCATTTTCATGCCAACTGATGCGCAACAGGTAGCCTCAGGCATGTCGATCCTCGCATCCTGTGGTGCGCAGTTCGCCATTCGTGGGGGCGGTCACATGAATGTAAGCAATCATTGTCATTGCTGCTGTTCTCTTGTTCTCGTGGGGTGCTAACAAGACCTTCTTGTCCAGTTTCCGGGATCCAATGACATAGACAACGGCGTCTTACTTGCACTTAACTTCTTGAACGACATTGAGATAAGCCCCGACAACTCGACTGTCAGTGTCGGACCCGGCAACAGATGGGTAGATGTCTACGAAGCCCTTGCACCGTATGATCTCTACTGCATCGGAGGTCGTATGAAGACAATTGGGGTCTCTGGACTTTCGTTGATTGGAGGCTTCCACTACTTGACGAATAAATATGGGTTTGCAATGGATAATGTCGTGAGCTACGACGTTGTACTCGGCAACGGAACTCAGGTGGTCGCGAGCACAACCTCCAACGTTGACTTGTTTTGGGCATTGAAGGGTGGCGCGAACAACTTTGGGGTTGTGACAAAGTTTGTCATCAAGACTTTGCCTATCCCAAAGATTAGCACCACTCTGCAGGTCTTTGACGAGTCTGTTGTCCGAGAGTTCATCGACGCTACAGTTGATTTGGCAAAAAACCAAGACCCCGAGGTCGGCGCCGGTTCCATCATCACCATCACGTACAACACCACCACCAAAGGCATTTCTGCCGTACTTCGAGGTGTACAAGAAGGTATTGAGTCACCACCCTCGAGCTTTCAGAAGTTTTCAGACCTTCCGTCTGTCTTGACTGAGAATGTGGTCCAGCGCCCCCTTGATTGGCATGCGCAGTTGGATAGCCCGTTCCAAATGTTCAGGTATGATCTCGCCGTCCTGAAAACGCGTAGAGTCACATCCGGGTGATGCTTTATTTCAATACTGATGTCACATTGCCGCAGAATTCAATTTGGCCACAAAACGATAAAAGCAGATGCAGATCAACTCTACCGTATTTATGAGGCCTGGAGAGCTGCCGTTGAGGACACCAGTGACGTGGAAGGTCTGATCCCGACTCTTGTTCTGAACACAATGGCGGCGAGCGCAATGAGCGTAGCCAAAACAAATGGGATTGGTAACACCTGGGGCTTGGACGATACCGAGCCATTGATTAGTAAGTTTTAAAGAGACCTGATTAGAGTTACATCGCTAACGCTACAACACTTAGTTTGGCAAACTTCCACCGCATGGGACAATGGGGAGAGCGACTTGCGTGTGACGAACTTTGCTCGCGGGGTTCTTGACGACCTGCATGCTGAAAACCAGGCGAAGGGTCTTGCCTCAGAGTTCATCTACATGGGTGACGCGGCCGAGTTCCAGAATCCGTTTCTTGGGTTTCCTGCTGAGAACCTCGCGAGGATGAGAGACGTGAGGGCGGCCTATGACCCATTGGAGGTTTTTACGCGACAGAATTGGGGAGGATTCAAGCTTCCCAGGACTTGAAAGTACACCCTATGAGCCAAAAACGTTGTGATTGTAATATGTAGATTCCAAGACTTCGTCTCATGCTGTACCTCGAGCGCTTGCTGGAAGCCTTGCCGCTAACATTGCCGTCGATCGACTACTTCATCTTTTATCTACAATCTTGCGGCAAAGCTACTCGATGAAGAACAAAATTCTGGTTGTATATATTTATCTTTGTGTAATCCATTGAGTTCAGTATCAGAAAAAACTATAACATGATAGCTCCTCAGCATATTACTCACTTCTTGAGAAGATTGCAAAATCTATTAGCTAAGTGAGTGGAGGAAATTGTGAACGCCATGGGCTCTTTGTAACGACTGGTTCATGAATGGATCTCGAGTCAACACGGGAAGGTACATTGTGAGATATACAGATTTTGGTAGATAGGGCATAGGCCTCATGATTCAGGCTTACTGCCCAACTTTGAGATCTCATAGGCTCTCGTCATTTTGGACGGAGTCTTAACTTGCCCGAATTCTTGTTTCCTCAACTCGAAGGCCGTTTGCCGTTCATCTGATGAAGCGTACGTGTTTAAGTCACCTCGCAACGGATAAGCCATATGGTAATCATCTGAATTGAAGGTTTCAGGTTGGCCAAAGATATTGATATTGCTTAGACATCAAAGATGAACAAAAGAAACACGACAACATACAAAGTGACTCGTTTTTAGAACGTATTTCCACGGACTTCATTCTATGAGTTTCTTGAATGCTAGAGATAGAGATATTTCCACAGTTTAGAAGCCTCGACTCAGTGACCACCATACTCCCTCTCATGAGTATTCTTGGGGGCCCAGCTTGCACTTAAATCCTGAGCGCTGGAGGTTCCCAATGGCACGAAACTTCTCAATTCATGTGATCCTTCAGCGGAAATGACGTTTCCGTCTTCATCCACGGTCATTACCTTGCTGGGGTGGAACACAGCTAGTATGAAAGTGACGAGAAAGATAAGAGCCGCGTCAAAGACGTAGAGGAACACCTCGGTTGTTTGCAAGCTGATAATATGAGTAATTAGTGACCAGAAAAGGAAGCAGAAGATGTGGCAAGACTCACTATCCATCATAGCCTTGGATGTACTCAATGACGCGGAAAAGTGAACGGATCAAGACCAGTGCACTGACACCGTACAAGATCCACAGGAACTTCTCCCATGAGGCGGCGTGTCTCAGACTCTGACTTCTCTCTTGAGAAATACGCCATTGAAAGACCGCTGTGACAGCAATGAAAAGAGCGAAGCCGATGAGCTGGATGAAAAGACCAACAATGATGACGTTTTCTCCCAGTTGAATCTTGCTCGGCGACTTGGCATTGGTGAGAATACCCCCACCTCCGTTCTGTACCAGAAAGGAGAGGACATCACTCGTGATGAAAACCTTCGTAAGAATCTTCGGCTTGACCGGGCTGTAGTCTTGGCCGTTTGATAGAATAATTAAGCGACCTAACATGCCGTAGATGGATGCTGCGAGTAAAGACGGAGCGATAAGCAGCATGAGAGACTGCAGTGCGTATGGCATCACCTGCCAGTTCGGGGTTTGGGCTGCCGATATGGCACGAGCAACATAACCGAGGATTTCGCAGATAATGCCGACGATGAATGGAATGAAGAAGCGCGTTCGTCTCTTGTAAAGAATAATCGCGTGAGCAGTAAGAGTTGAAGAAAATAGGACGATGAAGACGCAAGCGGCAGCCAGTGAAGGGTCGTATAAGTAAAGAGATGCCATGACCTGGCTGTCGCTTCGGTGATGAATCGATGTCATGTTGGTTCGGGTATTGATAGGAAATTATGAATCTATGATAGTGATGCAAGCTAGGGTTTTCAGATTCAATTCAGAAAGGTGGTAGATGCTGGGTCAATTTTTTGCAACTTTTTGTATCATCTGTCATTGACATTGGCTTTTATATTGATAAGTCAAACCCCCCACTTCCTGGCACCCCCCTGTTTCTGGCACCCACAAAAACGATGGGATCACAACCCAACCTCCTCATTACTATTAACTATTGATCCTCAACCACACCCACTACAATACAACTGCCAGCCTCACTAGGGCATTCAGAGTCGCTGGATTCAGCCGTAATAACCTCCTTTTCACCCGCTTCGATTTGAGCCCGATGGATATCCCTGATGTTCGCAAACTTCGTGTTGGGATCGATCTGAACAGTCTTCCTCTTCCTAACTGCAGCGTTGGTAACTTGGCCCTCAGGTGAGCCAGCTGCTGCTGGGCAACTGCCAGTTGCCAGGCCTGCTCTGTGAAGCCTTTTTTCACCTTCCTGAACAGCAGCCGTTGAGTGCTGGTATCATTGTCGAGTTGGGTGTATAAGTGCAGTTGACCGCTGAGCTCTGCCAGCTTCCTGGGTGTCGACCAGACCACTGCAGAGGAAGCAGAATCCCATGGCTCAACAGGGGTAGTTTGTTGACCATTATGGCATCGCTTTTGCCCCGACTGGTTGGTTTGGGTGTGGTGGGCTTAGCAGAAGGCTCAGGTAATACCATAGGGTTCATCAGGGGCTTAACCATCGCTACAGGGTGTAGACCAGTCCACTTCCAACCACTTCTGATGTTCGAGACTGATAGACCAGCAAGTCGAGCCTTCTGGTAACAGTCCAGGAAGTTCCTTTTACCTATAATGGTAGAGTCGTTCCATTGAGACAAGTAACCGAGCTCCTTCCGATAGGCTGACTTAACAGGGCTGAAGACAGACTGGTCAAGTGGCTGGAGGACATGAGAGGAGTGTGGTGGTAAGAACAGTAAATGGATATTGTTAATATAGCAATTCCACATGAAGTCTGTCGTCGTATGACTCCCATGCCCATCCACAATCAACAGTCGAGCCTCGCCCTCAGCCTCGGGCATAGTCTGTGGGATAAACACCTTCTCTAACCATTCAATGGCAGTTAAGTCTGTAGTCCAGCCATTATCTGTTGCTGTAAACTCCCACCCATCGTATGGAACCAGATGTAATGGAAACCACTGTTGTTGGACCGTCTTCCCTTGAAAATGATAAGAGGACGAAGTGCCCTACCCAAGGCTGAGATACACTCAATGATAGAGACCCATGCCCTCGACCCAGGTTGTTTCTTGCGAACAGACGTCGTCTCAGCCATGCCCAGCACTAACCCATTAGCTCCTGACCCTCGAGGATGCCAGTCTCATCCATATTATATCTGTTGGCTGGTTTGATGTCCTTGATCTCAGGGATAGCAAGGAACTTAAACCAGTTCCTAATGACCTCAGTAGATGCCCCATTAACGCGTCTAGAATCGATGGAACGACTTCTCTGAACCTTAATGATAGGGTTCCTTCTCACGAAGGCATAGATCCAGCCTTTTCCTAATGGTTTGGTATCCCCAGCAGCAGCCAGAACTCGCTCTGCGAATTCCTTCACCTGTTGGTGCGTTGGTGCGAGGCCCAGAAGCCTGAATGCGAACCCATTGTGCCAGCTTACTCTCCTGGTCAGGAGACAGCCTCTGCCAGTCAGCAAAAGCCACTTTCCTAGTCTGACCACCTTGGAGACGTAGTTGGAGGGTTGATCGTGGTATCCCATACTCCAATGAGGCTCTCTTTTGACTCTTGCCGTTTGAGATGTCCTCGAGAGCCTGACGAAGCTGATCTTCGGTATATTGAGGCATTAGATATAGAAGAAGGTATGTGCAAAAATGAGACTCGAATTGAAAATGTTGTGATAAAAGGAGGTTGGGGGTGGGCATTGCGTTGTGGTGGATTTTCGCGTTTTTGTGGGTGCCAGAAACAGGGGGGTGCCGGGAAGTGGGGGGTTTGACTTAAAAGATTTTGGCCGACGAGATGCCCGGTCTCAAACACGAACAGTTCACTAGCATGTATTCCCTCGGTCTAGATCTTATCCTTGAGATATTCAACTCAGCCTCTGCCCCAAAATAGCATCTTTGTGGATTGTACGTATGGGTTTCTCCGTCAAAGAAGGTATGGAGCGCCTGCCGTGTAGAAGTTGTCCCTGATCGCTACAGTCACTCTGTCTGTATCAATATTCATTGTGGTGGCATAGCAATTGTATGACGATCTCACACTGCCGGTACGGCGAGAAAATTTCTATGTTGCTGCCTGGAAGGACAGTTGACCAATCTTGTCGGTGTCAGGAGATGCATGGCTCCTCTTATCATCAGACTAGAGGACTTCGATCTCGGCCCTAAAAAGATGGACCCTAAATTGCAAGGGGGCCAAGGGCCCGAGATACACGTAAATGCTTGTATTGTGGAGAATTGTGGAGATACGCGTATTCAATCCCAGCCATCAGGGGTACGGATGCAACATCTACGAATGCTCAGCCAACTAATTAAATACTTGGACCCTGCTTTGTGCCACCCAGCAATGTTGTCAGCCGCTGACCGGACTTAATGCATTTCATACCGTCAAGTTCAGAGGCAGGCTCGAATCATGACATGAAGAGCTTTATTCTTTTCCACGGCCGGCAGTTCATCCCTTGAGAGCAGAGGAGCAACAAACTCAACAGAAAATTTCCAAAGGGTATCCAATCGCCATGTTACGTCGTCAACACAAGAAAAGCCGTAAAGGGTGCACTGAGTGTAAGCGGCGGCATATGCGGGTAAGTTGTTTCTCGAACCAGCATTGCTATCGGCTCTTTCCCTTCTTAGTATTTCTCTTATGCACAGCATCTGGTAAACTGACATTTTTTGCTTTTGAATAGTGTGATGAACAACGGCCCACATGCTTCAACTGCATCAAGGCCGACCGCCTCTGTTCTTTTGCCGAAGAGCCATACATACGGGTAAGTCAGCCACACCCATTTGCAAAGACAAATACGTGTAATTGACCAAGCCAAACAAGGTTCATGATGTGTCCCCTCGATCGGATCATCATTCTGCTAGGGCATCACCAGATGTCCAGCCAAACGGAGACCCCGACGCCGTCAACATGCTTCACATGGAGCTACTTCTCCACTTCAGCTTCGATGTCTACGTTCCTGAGTTCGATGACAACCTTGGGAGACCTGCGACGGAGCTGGTTCTGAAAATCGCCCAGCAGGCCCCTTTCTTGATGCAGGGGGTCCTGGCCATGTCTGCACGCCATCTTTCCATTATCCGACCTGAGAAGTCGGCGCTTTACCTCGATCAAGCAGTCAGATTGCAAACCAGAGCGATCGAAATGTTCAACATGACGCACCATGAAGAATGCAGGAACACATGCGTAGCCCGACTACTATTTTCTTCTGTCCTTGGCCGCCACATCTTGGCTGATGTGCTTCGTGATGATGGCCTGGACTTTCCTAGTTTCTTGAACCGCTTCACTCACGGCGTCAGGATTCATGGCGGAGTCAAAGCCGTCGCCGCTCAACAAGATTGGGTTTCCCTTTTGGAGACTGAATTTGGCCCGCTGATGATGAGGGGATTGGCTGTGGACATGTACGATAAAACCATTGAGCCAAACGAGGCTCTGCAGTCTCTCATAGCTCACTCATCGAACTTGAATGAAGAGGAAAGGTCAGCATGTGAGATGGCACTTCGACTGGTGGATACCGGCCTCCATGATCTGAGGGATCCAACAAGGGTGGAGTGTGGACGACGGATGATGTTTACCTGGTCGATTATGCTGTCTGATCGTTACATCTGCCTCTTGGAGCGCCAGGCCCCGGAGGCGTTGGTGATTTTAGCACGATACAGCATGTTTCTTCACTTCGGTAGGAGCTTTTGGCAGATCGGAGAAGCCGGGCCGCATCTTCTACATGCCATCAGTGCTCACTTGGGGTCGATGTGGCAGCCCTGGCTATCATGGCCAGAAGAGATTCACGATATTGAGCATGTGACATTTTCTGGGACAGAAGGAAATGTTGCGTAATCATCTGGAGGGTCAAAGGAGGAAGCATTAGGCATGGTAGACTCTCAATTATTAATTGTCTGATCTCACGGTCTCCCACCATTTTTATTGTGAACAAGGAAAGGAAACGATTACAACTTGGGGTTGAATCTTTTCCGTATGCGCTCCCCGAAGACGTAGAATGATACCAAGATTGGAACAAGACTCAGCGCAATGAACCCCAACAAGCTATTCCCCCAACCCAGGCCCAAAGCGTCATACATTTCCAATCCAGACAAGGGCAATAGAGCACCAAGGAGCGATCTCAAAAGCGTCAGTGCCGCTGTCACTGAGGCGGCATATTGCGGATAGGCATCAATGAGATAGTTTTGGATGCATGTCTGCCATGTTGTGAGTAAATGCATACACGAATTACTGAACTGTTCCGGACTTACCATTGTACCCATCAACCCAATACACATCACCATGACGCCCAGCATCGGAACAATCCAATGGACGCCATTTTGTACCGTCCAGCCGTAGAGAAACAAGCCGAATGGCAAAGCCAGTGCACAGGGAACAGTCATGATTGGTTTCAGTCGGTCTTCGGGCTTATGCTCCAAGCCTCTGGCTTTAGTCCGCTTCACGATCAAGTCGGTCAACTGCCCGAAACCGAGCACGCCGATGACCATGCCAATGCCAGCGGGAAGGAAAGATAGGCCACTCGAACCCTCATCAAATCCATAGTGTTCTGTGTAGACAAAAGTGAAAGTTGCAACCAGGAGGTACAGGATTCCGTAAGAAATAGCGATGTAGAGGGCGTTGAGAGTAACCACTGGAGTGGCTACCAAGAGCTTGATCGGGCGCATAGCGGCAAGACGGAGTTTCTCTGACATACGGGTCTTTTGTTCGAGCCTGCTTCGTATCTCTTTGTTTCCAGTCTTCTTCCGAAGACGGCTGGCCTTGTGCTCCAGAATGGCAGGGGGGTACGTCTCCCGTAATACCAGAATTGAGACTGGTATGGATACTCCTGCCTGGAAGAGTAGCGTTAGTCTTGAAAGTTCTCAACGATGTATCGCGACGCCGAGAGACGTGAACTCACTAAAATGCTGATAAGCCAAAACACCCACCTCCATCCAGCGGCGCGGATGAGATATCCGCCGGCGACCGGCCCAACACATGGGCCTAATAAGGGACCCAGCGCCCAGATGGAAACAGCTCTACCTCGCTTCTCGGGTGGCATCATATCTGCGATGCTTCCGCTCCCAATAGTGAGAGGAACGACACCAGATAGACCCATCAAGAGGCGAAAAGCAAGCAACATTCCGATACTATTGCTCAATGCTGTCCCAATTGTGAACCCCGTGAAGAGGATATTCCCAAAGATGTAGAGGTATCTGCGGCCGTAAAGTTCGCTGATGGGGGCGACAAGTAGAGGACCAAGGGCGAAACCGAGAACGTAGATCGAGAGCAGAAAGGTTGCAGTAACAGAGCTGTCGTCTCGAAACTCTTTCATAATAAGGGGGATGCCAGGCGCGAACATCGAGGAGCCCAGTGGTCTGCAGATATCAGTACTAATTATGAGAGATATTCATAAAAGTCAGTGGACTAGTATTTACTGACGTGACGACGCTAAGGAGGGACAGTATGGCGATGTTCAACCCTTTCTTTCCATCTGACCAATTCGAGGGGTGCTCAGGGTCGCCTTGCCCGTCCCAATCGACGATCAGAGCTTCTCTGTCTACTTCATGACCAGCTTCAAGATCATGGCTCCGTATGGGAGGCTTCGAGGCAAGATTCTGAGCTTGTGGCTCTTGCGTATCTGGTCGGATCATCCTAGGAGCCTCGGAAGCAGCTTTCGAATCCGATGTTCCTGCCATGACTGCAAACGAGACCAGAAATCTCATTTGAGAGAAGAATTCGAGGATTCGAGGACGCTTCTGCACATATGGACTTATAGTATCAGATAGCCCCTGTTATCGGCCGTGGTAAACCGCTGGTATTAGAAGACGCACAATCCCTGAAACACGCGTATTTGAGGTGGGAACGTTTAGCCCCCGTGATTATTACAGGCATCCGGCAACAACTCCGAACCGAGCTATGACAAAATCATGCGGAATTTGTCCAATTAGCTTGTAGCGACAAGTTGATTACACTCCGGTACTTTCTGGCCCAGGTTCAGCAGGATCCGGGACTCCGCGCTGTCTGTGGGTGGGCGGAGCTGTTCAGTGATTTTCAACCTCGGCTGATTTGGAGTCTGTCAAGGATCTTTCTGAAGTGATATTCAAATACGAAAGTCTTCAAAGGCATCATAGATAGAGAAAAAATAAATAGACCGGTCGGTATGCCACGATGTAAGTCGGCGTGCTTAACCCTTGCATTCCGTTTTGACATCGCACCTACACCACATTCACACCAAAAGCCCAGTCTCCACACACGATGTAAAGGAGTCGACTATTTCCCATCAAAATTTGTCACTGATCACCCTGAATTCAGCAATGACTGAGGGTCATTTGCGTTGCAGGCATGACGAATGGTAGACCCCAGACTGAACTCAAAGGGACAATGCTAAGGACGATCACCCAAGATCAGTGATATCACATCATTTTCATCAATTGCGAATATTGCTCAGCTGTTCACGCATTACTTAGAATGTCTCGGTTTGTCTTCATTGGTGTATCTAATCATCAACAGGAGGCAGAGGAATTGCAATAGGCTCTTGCTCGCCGGGTGCCAAGTCAGGACCATCAGGGTCCGGGATGTCTTTGGTACAGTCCTGCCCGTCCTTCAGACCGTTGTAGAATGCCTGTTGGTAAGCCCCATCGAGGGATCCTTGGATATTGGCGTCGTTAAACGGCACTTGGGTCTTCTCGTATTTGACGTCAGTCAAGGCCCGCCTCGCTGGGCTAGGTAACGAGCTCCACGCGATAAGAGTGCGATTGGAGGCCGCGGATACGTCTGTATCTTGAAAAGGTGCCATGGCGTTATCGTGGATTGAGACAATCGGGTTCGTGGGTGAAGTTCTGAATTTGAGGTCACCAACAGCCGTAGTGCCCCATCTCAAGTGGTCGACCGTGTATGAGATGCCAACGACCCGGTATGAGGAGGGTTTCTCGGCGTTGCAACCCCATCGATTTATCCAGACCACAACACTGGCCCAGTAGTGGCGGTGCCCCTCGTCGTTTCCCTTGCCCCACCGAACCTTTGGGAAATAGTAGCTGTAAATGATGGCATCACGTCCGTGACTGCTTCCGTGGCGAGCGTAGACTTGGCCGGCGCCGCCGTTGCCGCAGCCTGATCTCCCGCCACCTGTAGGCTTCAGACCTGCTCTATTTTATTCCATTAGATATGAATTTTTTTTACATGACGAACAACATGGAGGCTTACCCGAGAGCTCCACTGGCATCGACTGCAGGATACGGATCACAACCTCCAGTGACGGCAAGGAACGGGTTGAATCTACGTTCCAGACGACCGTCTGTCCCGGGAGAGGAGTCCTGTTTGAAAGGTGTGATCATATCATGATTGGCCCACGGATGGCCACCTGAATCATCACCTCCGCGAGGCAAGATGGCAGCTAGGGCAGCCTCCGAGAAGAGGAGGCATACTGTAAGAAGGTGCTGAGCTCTCACAAACATGATGTCAGTGGATGTATCAGTTGAACTGAGACAGAGGCTATAACACTAGCGAGTCGCTGATGGGACATCTCGAGAGGTGCGTATACTTAAGAGATAATGATAACGATATTGATATGGGCAATAGTGGTTGACTCCGATAAATTCTGCCCGCCCTGCTTCAAGTTCTCAGCTGTTGTCCATTTGAGTTTAATTAGACGGCTTCGCCGGCCGCCGCATGGCACGGCACAGTGGCCAGTGCCACCAGAAGCTTCTTGGTCATGGCGAATAAAACAACGAGAATTAGACTAGGGACTGCCAAACTTGGGCAATTACATGACTATCTACCTTCGGCAATATCGACGGTGTTTGCGTTCATCTCGTCCGCAAGAACTAGCTCAAATACATCCAAGATATTCTACGCCCATTCATCGAAGTTCTTTTACCAGTGGAGTCATTGCTCATTGTAAGTTTCCTAATCTCATTGAACTGGATAAAATTAGTGTTCTTGCTGGGAGCCAGCAACTCCCCGTTGTGTCATTCCCACATTGAATTACTCCCGCCAAGAATGAGGCTACAGCTGACTTTTAAGGAACGAGGCACTTCATATATTACCGAACGCCAGGAAAACTTAAAGCCAATGGTCATTTCCGCAATATGCTCACCCATTTTGGATGCGCTGAAAGATGTGATTTAGTAATGCTTCTTTACATTATCTAAACGACATCCGGTTTACGTCCATTTTTTCCCCTCCGAAGTTGTCCTTTCTACTTGCTCGTTGTGTCTTAAAGCTATCAAGGCTTCTAATTTGCAATGTCAAGCACGTCACACTCCTTCGGGGCAAGCGGTCTTCGCCTCCTCTTGTCATGGGCAGTCCTCCAAGTAGCCCTTGTTGGCGCATCCCCCACACCAGTCGCAAGACCCGACACTCTTCCCTACCCTGACGAGGAACCTCTCGCCAAGCGAGTCGTAGGACAGTTCCCCAGCTTCCCCAATGACTATAGTGGTCGCGTCCAAAAGGGCGTTTACCTCCGTACGCTCATGCCGCTGAGTGACGCGGAGGCGACCCGCCATAACCGCGGGGTCAGCGTTGCGAGCCCGTGGCAGAACCAGGCCGCCGTCGAACAGTGGGGATGGACGCGCGAAATCAACTGGGCGCCGTTCAACACTAACGGCGGCGATGAGTTCAGTGATGGCGACGACTTTGACCAGTTTGAGACCTCACCTGGTTTCGGTAATCTCATGGACGACGTCTTCGCGGACCCGAGTCATCCAGTAGACCCGATGGAGAACGGGCTGTCTACATTCCTGCATGCAAATGACTTCACACTCCGGGATGGCTCGTGGGGAGAGGTCAGTTCTAAGTTTCAACTCCTGCGAAGCCGTCAATTTCGGCCTTTAATATCGTGGATCTCTTACTAACATGTTACTCTCTTCCTCCAGCCATCACAAGCCTCCTACCAAAACGTCTTCAACCCTCGCTCAGGAGCAATCATCTTTGACAGAGACTTCAGCCCCCGATATCAAATAGCCGAAAGCGGCGCCGGCGACGTCCCAGAACTTGAACAGCTCTCCGACCTCGCCTACTTCCAATGGCTCGATGCCTGCGCAGCAAAGCGTGTCCGTCCTAACAACATTAACCTCATCTTCCAGTCTCACATCACCTACGTCCCCAGCTTCAACCTCATTGCGCAGGCTCTGTATGACGCCGGGTACCGCAGGGTGCCAGGTTGGAGCGAGAGGGCGACATTCTCAATGGATTCCCGGCCGGGATTGGCCATTCTCGGGAGCACGCACGGCGCCGCTCCGGCCTTGTTCCTCATCCAGCACAAAGCGACATTTGGTCGGAAAGTAATTACGGAAGTGACAGTATGGGGAGGCGCGAGCGGTTTCAGTTTCAGAGCGAACCCGGAAGTTGAGACTCTGAACTTGAGATTCACCGTGAGGGACGCCTGAGCAATTTCTCCACGGCATCATAGAGGCTCTAGAATATGGATAGAGAACATGAAGTGCTTATCTGAATTACATGAATTCAACGTTCTTCCAAGTGAGCTAGATCAAATGACCTGGACTCTGTGCTCTTCGAGACAACTTTGATTCGGCCTTCATATCCTGCATAAGTTTCGACACAGAGTTGCGATAGGCTTCAGAGACTGAGGCAAGTTGTTCGCTGCTCCACCTTGTACATCATACTGCCTCAGATCCTGAATTGCACACGCGAAGTCCTTGCTTGGGTTCGCATACTTCGTCCCACTTCGACTACCAGAACTCAGGTTATCCAGAGCATTTTGCATGCCTTCGTAAGTTGCGATCTGATCGACAAATTGCTGCGTGATGGTCTCTTTGCGGCGAGTATCGGGGCCTTTCCATGCGTTGGTATAGTAGTGTCCCAACTTGGTGCAGTGGATAAGAAGCGCTGCGAGGCCAGCTGCAAGAGCCGTGGCAACCGACGAGCCTGTACGTCCATTCCTAGTGACAAGAACACTGATTTGAGACCCCAAAGCCTCTGATATGGTATCGGAATCATGGCTGTCATCTTCAAAAACATCCTTGATATCTACGCCTGGGAATAGGTAGTTCAGCCCATTCTGGTCGGTAACTTCTGGCCAGACCTGTCCGTGAGGATCAGCAGCACCAATACAGAACACTTTGGCGTTGTTGATCTCCCGCGGAAACTCTCCTCTATTACCGTGCTGACTGCGTCCTTGGATTCCATCGTCGCTCGCTGCGCAGAACATGATGGGAATCCGACGGCGTCGACTGCCGGTGCCCTCACATGCGCTCACGACATTGCGTAACTCCATGAGCGTGGCCTCTGGAATCTTGTTATTGTCGTTGCGGATGGTCCAAGACATACTGATGATGTCGACGTTTTGCTCTATGGCAGCTTTAATAGCCTGCGCAAGTTAGTCAGATCAATAGCTTTTTTCAATGCCGGTTTAAGATTACAAAGCCCGATGACAGAACTTGGCTCGAAAGATGCCTTAGAATGTGAGAGCATGATGCTTACCTTAGCTGCACTGCCTGCATCAGGTACTCGCCGATTGCTGGATGCGTCTCGGACAGTTTTCAAACGATAAGGTATTATGTCTGCGAATGGGCAGATGCGAAGAATTGTTTTTGCCATGAATGTTCCGTGGCCACTGACAGATGAATAAACCGGGTTGGGTCCATCAGGCGTTTGGTCGAAACTTCGACCTTCCAAAAAGCGCGACTCTAGACAGCGCATGCTTTTGCTGAAGAGATCGACCCCATCGTCAATCAGTGCAAGTCTCACTCGACGTAAATGTGGGTTCTTGAAGTCATAATCTGGTAGCTCTTCCGGTGTGGGGATAATCGAAACAAACTCTTCAACGTACTTGAACCACGGCTGTTCTACAGATTCTGAGGCAGAACCCGCAGCTCGATCGGGCCCAGCTGCGCCTGTCGGCGTGACCCTGCCCACATCTACAATTTGAATGGTCGGTAGACTCTTGTAATCGTCGAAGTGCTCATGTGCTTGGACCAGAGTTAGTTGCCTCGACGATTGCATTTGTACTGGCGCCTTGGTACTAGTAGAGTTCTGATTCGTCTGACCCATCTTCGCCGGCCGTCGCCTTGGCTGCTTCATGCGCCTTGTGAAGCTTTCGATGTTCTTTCGTATGCGGCTTTCCTCAATCGATGGTACCGAGTAGTAGACATACACCTTCTGCAGATATTCAAGAGCAGGTAGTCCCTCAGGCTCGCTCCACCCACGCAAGACAGAGTTCCGACCACTCCAATGCAGATGAAGTTCGCGAACCTGCGGCGTTGCTGTCTGTATCACCTCGGGGCAGAGATCTTCCTTGTGCCAGTCGAGAACCTCGACATCAAAAGAGGGATACTTCTTTTTCCCGCGTACAAAGCCCGCTAGAGCCTTTTCAACCTCCTCGTCTCGGTGAGAGTGGTCGCCGTCATAGACAACAACCTTGAAGATCTTGCGTACGCCCCACTCCCTGAACCAATTAAAGAATTGAAGATGATCCGTATAGCGGGATGAACCATGCGGGGTTTTCTGATCATTCTCAAGTAGAATCGTGGCCGGTTGAAGAAAGACATGACGAAGAGTGTGGTAGTGATCCCGTTTGCCAAAATAATTCCTCACTTGGGTCTCTGTCATATCACGGTATTCTTTAGCCGTATCCATTGCGAAATAGTAATCTGAGTTCCCAAATATTAGCATTCATACAAAAGCAATTAGAGAGTGGCCAAGGCTCCACATCCTCATCACTCAATTCAGGGGAAGAAGAAAGGGCGTGTGACGACGCCATGCGGGCATTGGAACCAAACTATGAAAAGCTGAAGTGATTCTACGTCGGGGTTTTCTTTCAGTATTTGGAACTTACGCTGTTCGTTATTTCCGAAAAATCGCTGGATTTCCGTGTCAATCTCCCGGAAGGCGTTCCTCGTCTCATCGTTGTGGAAAACAGTCGACCGCAGAAAGCGAACTCCGAGCTCCTTGCAAATTTCATCGCTGGCTTTGTCTGCAGCCTCAATATCTTGTATAGTGAAACGTATCTCTTTCGGTTTTCTCCGTTTTGACAGACCTCCGTTGCGCAACAGCGGACGACGCGAAACCTGACCTTCCTTTCCCCGACCCTCTAGAACAGATGGCTGGTCCATAATCGTGGGTGGCTGGTTGGGTTTCAACATGCTTGGTTTCGCTGGTCTATCAGCATCAAAATTTAGACCCGAAGAAGGTATCCGCGCGGAAGAAGCAGTCATAAGACCCTTCAACATCATTCCGGGCTGGGGCTGTGTTCTCTCGAGCCCTCTTTCGCTCGCGATCTCAGAGGTAGCTAGTCGATCAGATGGGCCCACTTGTGTCGGCGTAGATGCATCTATTTGTCGAAGATGCTGATTATGCCAAGATTCTCTGGTGGCAATATGCCACCTGTAAACGCTGTACTCGGGTTGACGAAGAGAGCTGCTCGCTTTCCACGGCTGAAGTCTCACCTCTTTGGTCACCAAATCGTGGATGCTATTGGGGCATTTGTCGAGAATAAGCATCACCAATGCTAGTTGACGGTCGGAGTCGCTGAGACACAAATCGAAACGCAAAACTTGCTCCAGCGGACTCAATTCGTTATTGCTTTTGAAAAGCATCTCTGGAGCCGCAAGGTTGACGAGCATCTCTAGAAGGTCTATGTCGACCGGGAGCAACTCGTTGGGTTTCTCATTGAAGTTAAAGGCAGCTTGAATGATTTCTCGACCAGCTTCTATGGTGTCGGGATTCTGCTCGTTCTCTTCGAACCAGGTTTCAGCGAAACCGAAGGTCAGTGTGGCTAAAGAAGCTAAGTTGCGCTTCTTTATATCTTGTGCCATGAATTCGATGACGGCACGAACCATCTTTTGCGAGCGTCTCCTGATGAACTCTAGCAGAGGAACGGCTCCACCAAAGTTCATCAAAATTGCTTCTGGTAACTTTCCGAGGATCGTGTTCAGAACCTCTGTAGGGCAATTGTCTGCTCTTCTGACATCGCGCAGAAACTGATGAAGAATCGTGCCATCTTCGTTAATCTCGTCGGCATGATTCTCGACGAAGCAAGTAAGTTCATGAACACGTTGCTTTTCAGACTGGGAATCTCGCTGCTCGCCCGCCTTTATGGCGTCGATCTCGTTCGATATGTGGTGGAAGACGTCGACAAAGTCCTTCTCAGAAGAAGGAGGCGTCTCCATTGTTGTCACGGGTTCGTGGGTGAGTTTTCGGCTCATGTCATAAAATGAGGTGCTCAGTTGTGCCGAAAGATTGCGCAGAACTCAGAGTGATAACGTATTAATCTGCGCACGAATTTACTAGCTTGAGGCGATTGTCATCAGTGACGCTCCCAGGTCGATGTTTGACGAGAAACAAAAGATTTTGCTCTGAGCCACTTGCGTTTGCACTTGGGCATCGCTGAGACGCGAGAACCCGAAACGCCGAGGCCACAGTCCATGTACAACGCGATTACATACCTACTAACTTGACCACTCTCTTTGACCACTCTCTCTTCGCCGTAATGATTGACATATAGTTACCTATGCGACACATCGCCGCATCATTCGATCATCCGAGTCTAGTTGGGAAGAGCGAGCAAGTTGGTTGGAAGCTTCCCCTGCATATGCAGCCAAGCCAATATTGCACCCATCTCTGCAAGCTTGACTCTCAACTTGCAACTTGCTGCTCCAACGTGCTTCGGTTCACCATCGCCGGGATTCGTTCTACTCCAGGCACACTAGGATTCCTGTAATTTTGCAAACAAGCTTTCAGGCGCAGACGTCTTAGCAGTGGTTTTCCAGGAATAACTTCGCGCAGCCTTGGGCGCACTTGACCCCTTTATACTTTCACAGCCACATTGTGTTGGTCGTTTTGACGTTCAACAAACAAGTGCCTTGTTTTCGTCTTGTTTTCGTCCATAAAAGAGTGGGCTTCCCCTCCGAATCATAGTTCTATCTATGTCTACATCAAGCAACACTGCCTCGTTAACAACCAAGCACTCACCCGTCCCTCATACAATCCCTGTCATCTCTCGCACAGTATTCAGTGGTCAAGATGTCAGATACCGAATCAGACGACTTCTCAGACGTCGGTACGGTGATCGACTTCGGCTTGGGTGCGGTCAGTGAGGCCCAATGCCAGTTTCGATTCAACCCAGACGGCATCTATACCCCGCGCGAGACTGGAGTGTTGGTCCGCTGTTCCTTAGCCGACATGGTTCACGGCCAAGCTAGTCTACATGATGCCACCCCATGCGTCCTCGTTGTTTTTGACTTTCAGCTGGACCGGACCAAAGCGACGCGAAGAATACGCCAAGCCATCATAAGCCTCACTCTACCCGAGGGCATTCGCGTGCGCAAAGGAGGCCTCTCGCCGAAGGGAAGAGTTTCATTCCACCCACAAGAGATGACTCTCTCGCGCAGTAATGAGAGTAGTCTGTCCGCGGGCTTGTGTTATGGTGCCTCCACCGAAGGCGGTGTCAAACGCAGCGAGACGGTCAGCTTGGACACGACGGAATACGCCACTGTTAATGGATGGACAACACGGCAACCGAAAGGCAGAGTAAATGACCAACGGCCGCATAACTGCGTCAAATGGGCGCTAATGGAGAACCCCGCCCTGCCCAAACACGGTGTCCCGCCTCATTTTCGTGCCGCTGTCTTGCTTGAGCGGTGTAATGGAAATATGATGGACAGACCCTTCGTCCTCGAAATGGAAATCAAGTCTTCCGTTGATCTGAAAACATCGATCGAGAATTTGACGGAAATGTTTGGCAAGGTGCCTCGAGGTTGTTTGAGAGTTGATCCCAGCAAACAATCCACCGGAAACCTGCGCAAGTACGATCCGAAACAGCTTGCGGATGTAGTGGGCGACCTTTGGGGATTGTCTTCTGGCACTTTAGAGACTGAGTTGTTTTCAAGAGACTTTGTTCAATAGTGGGTGAGCGGCACAAGCGGGTAGTTGGTTGATATTCTTGGCGAGGTGCATGTAAACGCTTTCATCACATCGCATTGAATCCCTGCATGTAACCTGCGCCTGTCGCTTAGCTTCGAAACAGGAACCCCAAGTTAGGTCAAAGAGGAGCAGTCGCGGCTAGCTTCGATGTACTTGCAAGTACCCGGCAGGTTACTTTGTGAATGCATGATTTGTTGTTGGACTGTTGGATAGAAATCAACCCAATCTGAGAAATCAGCTGATGTATGAGTGGCCGGCCTAGGGCGGCTTTCTTCCCTCTGCCAACCCATCTTTCTCGGAAGCATTTCCGTTCCAAGATTGGGATATCTTGGGAATATTCTTTCTCACAAAATCGTGGACGACAGTCAAAACAGCAGAAATTGCTCCATAAAAGAACAAGATCATGGAGTTACTCGAGAGATTCGATGCGGAAGATGGTGACCCAGATAAAGAGTACGTTGCACAATGGCAATGCTGCTGTGATTTATCTTATCAAAACTCTTTTTAATTCAAACCCATTCTTGAGATGTTATAGTAACTAATGATGTGGAAGCATCCTTGTGGTCCATGGATTGTCACATAGCGGTGGCAGCCCTTGGGAGGCAAGCCCGACCAAACCGGCCTGGCTGAGACAGGATTTATTCAATGACAGCAACTCTAACATCATTGCTTTCAACTACGAAAACTTTTTCGACAGCCAAAACCCCCTGTGCACTCGTGCTGGCCTGGAGTTCGTTGCCTGTCAGCTTTTAGACGATATCATGGCATGGAAGGCATCGGAGGTCAGTATCTCTCACCAAATTTTCCAGATTATAGCCAGACGCAATTGCTGACCTAGCCGTTAAAGGGAGATCGTCCACTTGCCATTCTAGCCCACGACACGGGTGGTGTGCTTGTTAAGATGGTATGTTGATCCAGATTACGTCTCTCAATATGTCTCTATTGGTAGAACCTCTCCAACTTAGGACTGACTACATACTGGGTTGCAGGCCATCATCATTGCTTCTGGCAACCTAAGCAAGTACAGTCAACTGCTATCCTCTGTTTATGTCTTAGTAAGTCAATCTTTGATCTTGATCTGAAGAGACTGTAATGCTGACAAAATCAAAGATCTTCCTCGGCTGCCCACACAAAACATCGAGCGCTGAGTCACTTGTTAATGGGTTTGCGACTTTGATCTATAACACTCACAGCATTCCCAGTGTCGGCCTTTTCCAAGCTGCCAAACTATGCGCTGAAATGACCACCGATGTGAATCACCTGTTCTTGAATAGCAATCTGCCTTTCATGATGCACATCATCAGCGTCTTCTCGGAGGCACTGAATCCTATTGACCGAGTAAGTACACATACCTGATGGTTTAGTCTTGTCACCCCTCTCCTGTCACAAAGGTTACAGCATTATCATAAGGGCGATCATGCAAGATGGCAATTGGGTCATAAAATCGCCATGAACCTTTTTTCAATTCAGTCCTGACTCCGTTAGACTTTTGATGAGTTCACTGCTACGCTTGATCTCAGTTGCGAAACTCGGCTCGGATTGCCACACCCTCACGGCACCCTGCTCGGTCACGAACTCGACGAGAAGGCGAATAAGTTGCTCAAGGAAAAATTTCAGATTTCAATTACAGGTAGCGCGCCAAGATATATCTGTGCACTAACCACCTCTTTTGAATTTCTATATGATCACAATCACTAATTTACGCTTTTAACAAAAGAAACCTTGAGCAGCCAGAGGGTACAAGTCCTGCTCTCATCTGTGTCTCCGCCACCTACTTTCCAATTGGGGCTTGAGTACGTTACATCGGATAAGTTGGGATTCAAAGAAGATCTCGATGAGTGGATAGAGAATCATTCGTCAAGTAAAACCCGATATATCTGGGCTCCTACGGAATTATCCCCGTCGGGTGCGATCGGCAGCTTCGTTCGATTGGTATCGGAAGCAAACCAGCTGTCAGCACCCAAGACACAAATCCGAGCTTTTGTCTACCAGTTTCGAGAGATCAGAGCACATCCACAGATTCAAACGAAATTCCGCTTGAGCAGCATGCGACTAGTGCTGGAGAGCTTCCTAGCCCAGGGTCTAACGTACATCTCTCCTCGGATGGAGCCGGACACGGGTGTAGCGAGCTTATTTTCGTTATTTGAATCAGCCTTATCGCCTGCAGGGGCACTGAGTGAAGACTTGCTTACGGTTCTCTTCGTTACTCTGAACAACTGTCTTAGGCGCAACGGCATTCGTCCAATATGGTCTGTTTGGAACCTAGAACACTGTGGCGGCGATACGGAGGTGACTAGGCTGTTGAGCAACTTCAAAGAGCTTTTCCAGTTCACCACGCACAAGCCTGCGATACTCGTTTCCTGGTCGGGACAATCAGCCCCTAATTTTGAGGGTATCATGCAAGATGCCGGCATTCATCCTTTTCGACTAAGATTTCGATATCGATGGTCTCAAGATCATAGGATTCAGATCTCTTCAGAATTCTTAGCTCCACATGGCGGCCACACGTGCGTTGGGACGTTGCCAGAATTGATCAAGGCTGCCTTGTGCGACACCAAAGACGACGAGCTTCGCCAAAGTTTCATGCAGTTGGCCATCAGGACAGCACAAACAAGCGCATCAGGCGTTCAGTGTTTACGAAGAGTCCATGAGGCCATCGACGACAATGGGAAGCTCGATCCACACGGCCTGCAGGCTGCAACATCGGGGTTTCTTGCGAGAGACGAGACCGTGTTCACGAATAGCGCCCTTCTTTGGGTCCAATTCTGCTGCCGGTATCTTTCTCCGACTGAACTTGTCACTGCTTTAGCCTTGGAAGGGGTCGTAGACAAATCAAATGAAACCGAATCCATCTCGGGTCAATGCCATCTTGGAAAAGAGATAGAAGACAACTCATCTGCTGGCTTTCACTTCATCCAGAACCATCTTTCAGGCCTTATACAAGTAGTTGATGGCGAGTGTCGGCTCACTTCCGACATTATCGGTGAACCGAATGACACTGGTCCCTGGTATTCCCATAATGCCAAGTCAAACCTATGGATTCTGCGTTGTCTGCTCCGACATTTGGGTGACAAAGCAGAGCGAGAAGGCCTCGACATTCAAAGTCCACACTCCGAATTCGTCCGGCCTTCACCCTTCCACCACGACTTGACGACGTATGCCGCCAATTTTTGGTCGCATCACTACAGAATTGCGCAATCTCACACGTCGACAAAACTAGAAGCCGAAGCCATGGTAGCCAGATATCTAAAGGCCAACCACGTCGCGACCTTGCTCATGCTCCGATATGTTCAACACACTGTCGTAGAATCTCCCAGGAGGGCGATTTCTGAAGATACCACAGCTACTGCGGTGGCCCTTCTCGTATGCCATGGCTTCGATGACGTCGAGGAGATTGGTACGCTTGCCAGCTGCCCCGGATGGGAAAGTAGTCCCAAGACTGTGTTCCCGGCACTTTTGGAGGCAGTCAGGGGCGTCCATACGACACTTCTTCCGAAGCTCTCTGTTTCAGTGCTGGGAGATGAAGAAGCAGGAAAGATCTTTTCAGCAGTTGAACCAGGAAATCTCACAAACAACTGCATACATGATCTTTTCCGACAAGCGCAGTCTCGACCGAACTTTCACCTCCCATTCGAATTGGTTTTCTGTGCTGCATTCGCCGGCATCGAAGTCAGCGCCAAAAGCATCAAGGGTTGTAAACTTGACAGCTCCATGTGGCTCACTTGGCTGTTGAGATGCATTGCCACTCGGAAATCGGATGCCACAAAGATGATCTCACGGCTTGCAGAACCTCACCTCAGTGAAGGTCAAAAGGATGACATCTTGCTCGCTGCAAGCCTGGTATGCGATTCCAAGGACGTCCTTGCACTTATGAGCTGGCTCAGATTAGATATCTCGTCCCGATCTTTGCGAGCGCTTGTTTACTCGGGCAATCATACTGCTCTGAAGAAGCTGCTGGCAAGCCAGTCTCAGAACGAGTATTTCTCCAGTGCAGGATTCAAAGAGAGTCTCCACATGGCCGTGGATCACTCGTCACTGGAAATTGTGAGAGAACTTCTCGACCATGTTGATGTTGTCCAAGACAAGGAGGTCCTTATGGATTGCTTGAGTCGTGTTATTCAGAAATCAGCATCCAAGGAAGTCTGTCTCTTACTTCTAGACACGGGCGTTGAGATTGATTACGGGCGTCAAGAGCAATACCTGAGTGACGCCGTGAAGCAAGATAACCCGGAGCTGGCACAAGTGTTCTTGGATTGCGGGGTCAGCATCGACGCTCAAGAATCCTCAGGCGAACCGCCTCTTTACGTGGCCGCGAAAGAGGGCACGCTATCCATGGTGGAGTTTCTCGTGAAACGGGGCGCCGACGTCAACGTTCGAACTGATGCCAAGGGGCTGACGCCGCTGTACGGAGCGACACTTCAGTCGAGACCAGAAGTCGTCGAGTATCTCCTGAGCAAGGGAGCCGACGTGACTATCCCTTCAAAGGCACGAAACTGGTCTCCTTTGGAAGGGGCATATGACTATCCGGCCGTCATGGCACATCTGGTCACCAAGGCGTGGCCACCGCCCGACTATCACCGAGTGGCTGAGTTTGGGGACACCCAATGTACAGCCCTTTTCCTCGCAGCGACGTACGGCAAGACCGATAGTGTCAGGTTGTTGTTGAAGCATGGCGATCCGGACATCGAGTTCACGCCATCCTCAGATATCGAAAAAGAAAAGACGGATACGAGGGGATATACTGCTCTAGCTGTCGCAAGTCTATACTCGCACACGGATATTGTGAGGCTGTTACTAGAGCATGGGGCGAACGTCAACCATCGAATCCCGGGCACCCGTCTGACACCGCTCCATCTCGCACACAGCGGCGATACACTCGCGGTATTGCTGGAATACGGGGCCGACAAGGAGGCCAAAGACGACAACGGCTACACGCCTCTCTTTTACGCCGTGACGAAACCAGATTCGAGTCTCACCCGGCGTTTGGTGAACGCTGGCGCCAATTTTAAAGCCACCGATAATTGGGGTCATGCCGCTCTGCTGAACGCCCTGATCTACGGCGAGCCGAGTAGCCGTGAAGAGAATTGCAGATACCTCATTTCCAAAGGTGCTCCGATCAACGAAAAGGGTCCAGACAGGTACGGGTCCACCGTGCACAGGTGTTGCAGGTTCGGTGAAGTAGAGGAAGTAGAATTGATCTTGGAGCTGGGCGGTGATGCGGGCCTCTGGTATGGGATGCAGGGCACCCTTCTCGAGGCGGCATGCAACAACGTCAACAAAAACGACTTGAGATTGGTGAGATACCTCGTCGAGAAAAAGGGGGTCGACATCAACGGCCCGGGGAGCTACCTCCGCAGTGCCATGGGAGAGGCATTCCGGTCTGGCGACGAATCACTCATACGATACCTGCTCGAAAATGGTGGGCGTTTCGATACCCTAGACGGCAACGGACAACCGGCGTGGTTCAACATTTGTGCCAGAAAGGACGACGCCCTCGAGATGTTTGACATGCTACTAGACGACTACGGAGCGGAAGACTTCCTAGCCTCGCTAGGGGACAAGGACAGAACGTCACGGAATATCCTGCACTGCACAGCACTTTCGGGGCATCTGGGACTTGTTGAGAGACTTGTCGACCTGGATCCAAACCTAGTTGACAGCCGTGACATTGACGGGTGGTCGGCCCTTCACTGGGCAGCGCGGATGGCCTCCATCGAAGGTCTCGGAGGCGAAGACATCCCGCAGAAATGGGAAGAGAAGGCTGAAATCATCAAGTTCCTAGCTCGCAAGGGATGTCCTGGTCTGACAGAATGTGTGCCCGGTGGCAATGAAGGTACGTGGGACGCACTGGAAATTGCAGAATACCACGGCGCGCCTGAAGTTATCGTCGCTGCGTTCAGGGATATGATGGAGGACGCACAAGTTCAAGTCGAATCCACCAAAGCGTTGTCCCAGCGCGCTGGAAGATGGATTTGCGACGGTTGCAACACTGTAAGTTTTCCCGTCCCAATACAGCACAATATTCGAGCTAACCTAGACGATAAATCCAGCTGATCTGGGGTGCTTTCCTCATTTGCGATGACGATGATTGTTACAAAAACTTTGGGCTTTGCTTCAAGTGCGCGCCTCACAAGGATGAACTCCATGACCCGAAGCACGTGTTCGTCATTGACGAACGAGGAGTCCCAGAATGCTCAAGTCTGGAGTGGGCACCGTAGAAGAAGCCTGGCCTACCAGTGAATCGGATCTCGGAATGGAAAGGAGCTTGAGGCAGTCAGTTGGAAGAGGATCTTGAGGTGAATATAATGTTGGGCCAAGGAGAATCCAGGATAAGTAGATAGTGAACGTGACAGACTCAACTTCTCGCACTCTGCACAACTCTCGGATTGAACTTCTTCCAAGTTTCGAGAGTGGGCCAAGTCACAACCGATGCCGCCTAGCCATCTCGAAATCCTCATCGTTACCCCTCGTCGCTCACCTCTTCATCGTAAGCAAGTCACAGTCACAGGGATTGCACCATATTCTGAATTAAGTATTCGTATTCGAGCACGTAAACCACGGCCTCTCATGCTTTCTCAAAGGGCTATCTAGTACATCATCCCTCCCATAAGTCTCACATCCCCAATAACGCCATCAAATGCAACCCAAACGCGCCTAGCCATGCCCATCCCCTCCTCACTCTTCCCTCCGCGAGGCCTCAGAGACCCTTTCTCAACCCCTCCGTAACCTCCAACAACATCCTCAACCCATAAAACTTGGCCACGCTCCAATACACACCCAACCTTCTCACAATATCCGCCCTCTTAACACTCTCAACCCACGTCCCGCTACACGTGCAATGCTCCATAAACTCATTCATCCTCAACGCGCCACACTTGCCGCACTTGAGATCCTGCGTAGTCCACTCCACCACAAACGCCTCCACGCTCGCCAACAACGTCTCCTCGATCGCGTTCCGATCATACTCGGCCTCGCAAAACGTACACCGCCAAGGCCGCGTCTCCGGTCCCAGCCGCCGCCCGTCGGGCCCAATCTCCGGCAACAGGTCCTCGTCGCGGCAGAAGTCGAGGTCGCGCGCCATGGTACAGCTGTCGCAGCTGAGCTGGATCACCTTGAGGCTCTCGCTCGGGTTCTGGAAGGCGCCTTCCTTGCTGAACTCGCGCACGTCGAACATGGCGAGCAGCTCTTTGCGCAGGAGGCGTGCCTCGAGGGTGATGTTCTTGTCGAGGGAGAGGACCTGCATCAGGGACTTTACGAGCTCGAGGACGGCGTTGCGCGAGGAGAGGTGGGCGAGGTGCGAGCCGGGGAGTTGGGGGAAGGAGTAGTCTTCTGCGAGCTCTGGGTGGAGCAGCTCGCGCTTCTGCAGGTTGACGAGATTGGCAATGTCCTTCTTCAGGGGCTTCTCAAAGACTTTGCCTAGGATGATCTGTCCCTGGGCGCCCTCCGTAAGGGCCTTTTGCGGGAGCTGCGTAAGACGCGACGTCGAGGAGAAGTCGCCGTCTTGAGGACGCTTGAGGTTGTGCATAAGTTGGATGAACTCAATGACCCAGTCCTGGAAGGTCGGCTGCAGGCGAATAGGGAGGAATGTCGCCATTTGCCAGTGCATGACGGTGTCGAGAGTCTGCTGCTCTGCCTCCACCACCTCTTGACAGGCCTTGCCGCCGTAGTTGAACTCATCGTACCACACCAGGTAGTCCCAGTATTCCTTGATCTCAAGGTCGATGAAGTGGAAGAGGGGCTTGCTCTTGATCGACTTGATGATGTACTGACTGTAAGCGTAGGCAGTTCCAACCTCGGCCTTGGTGGTCTGGAGCAAAAGGCGGTTCGAGTTGGCAAAGATGACCTGGGAGCCGACTCGGCGGAAGTCGGCCATGAGCTGTTGGAAGGCCTTCTTGGACATCATCTGCACGTAATAGTGCAGAGCCCGGTCGTACAAGAAGGAATCGGGATTCTCAACCCACCGCACCAGGTGCTGAACCATGACATCGGCCATGGTATTGCCCTTACAGGCCTCCTGCCACCAACTCTTCACCATCTCTCGAAGAACCAGTACACCAGCATTGGCAAACGTGCCTTCTGACGAGATGACTTCATCACCAGCAGCGTTGCCATCTCCGGCGGGGTTGAAGGAGATAGACTCGGAGCCTTCCAGCTCATTGATCAGAGATGATGTGAGTATGGTGTTGATGGCTAGGTTTCTGACCTCCAAGTCGATGCAGACCGAGGAGAACGTGCCGGGGTTGTTGATCGAGGGCATCTGGACAGTTTCGAGCGGGCCGATAATGTCGTCCTTCTCGTGACCGGCATGGTCGGGGCGAGGGCTTGCGGACCACCACAGGACAACGTTGTTGTTCTGCAACCTTCTAGCATAGGCAATATCGATTAGGAAGCGCGGGTCTTCTCGCTCCAGGTTACAGAGAGGAACCTCTCCGTACCGTGCGAGTGTGGTAAGATGCAAGATCCACGAGCCAAGGCCAAGATAATGCCCAACAAGCCGTCTAGCAACGACTGCCTGCCAGCCAAGTGGCGGCAGGGAGCTATCCGCAGCATCGTACTTGAGCGGCAGCACTGGGAACTCGCCAAGGATCGGGACATCGTTGATGAGCATGTTGCGCTGGGATGATTGGATGACCATCATGAGCGGTCGCAACTCATCCTTTCTCATCTTCTTGACGACGTCGCTGAGTTCCAAATGCGCCTTTCGCCTCGTCGTAACCTGGGTGATTTTGAAGTTCAGCTTCTCCTGGTATGTGAAGCAATCCTGCCAGTTTGTGCCTTCCGCCTCTTCTCCTCGTCGAGCAAGCAGTTCAGTGTAGATCCGGGAGATGTTGGGGAGGTCCTGGCCCGAGTCTCTACCCTTCTGTAGGATAATTACATGTGCCTCATCCCTCAGAGTGGAGAAGACCCCAAAGATTTGTTTGTCACCGGCAGTGACGTGCGAGACGTAGATATATGCTAGTGGTGACGTTTCGAGATAAGTCTTTGCCTTCAAGGGACGCTTGAGACCACTTAAATCGAAGCCTTGCTCCAGGCCCTTTCCGAGAACTGCATGTTGCTGTTCGTCAATGGTGCAGAGATTGCCCAACTGAAGCACAGCCCTGATGTTCAGCGGCAAATGCTTCTCGTAGACGCCTTCAACACTGGGATGGTTGAATAGCAGCGAGAACTTGTCCGCCTCATTGAAGTAGACATCCTCAGGAACTGTTAGCTTGAAGAGGTGAACGGAAGAGTGACCATTCGGAAGCGTGTGGTTGACCTGCTCGACTTCACAGCCAGGGATATCAACGTCGGGCATTTCGCCACTTCTCAAGTTCAAGAACACCTGTCGCGGCACCTTGATCTTGAGAGAGTGAATCTTGGCATCAATGAGGACATGAGCGTTGACGATACCCGGAGTCTCGGTAGGCTTGAGATGCAACAGCTGCCAGTTGCTCATATAAGTCATGTGGGCTTGCTTCATGAACGTGTTTTGAATGTTGTTCTGGTTATTGCCGCGACGGTCTCCAAACAGCTGTCGCCTCCGAGTGCGGGCCTGCTTTTGAATCTTCCACTTTTGCTTCTGGTATTGCAAGAAGCCGATGTAGTCGTCCGAAGGCGAGGGCATAACCTTGGGTAGTGCGGCGAAGGGATCAGTGCTCTCAGCAGCTTCGGGAGACTTTCTCTTCTGGGCAGTAGGCTGTGAAGCGGCCACCACAGATGTTACCGGCTTTGGCTTGAGTAGCTGTGTGCCAAAGTCCTCCATGTCGGTTGCGGACCGACCGTTGCGGTTGGTGATGTCTTCCAGTGGTCCCTTGGTGAAGAGATCGGTGAGCTTCTTCTGCTTCATCTTGTCGTCCTTAACATTGATCCGGCGCTGCAACCAGTCGGGGTGAGCAACACGAGGAACCGGGTTCCTGACTTTCTGGAGCGCAGCAGGAATGGTGATGAGCTTCTGAATGACGGATCCCAGACGCTCCAGGTAGTAGTCCCAGTCCAACAAAGCTCTCGGGTCGGTGTCCGCAGGTTCCTCCTTGAGCCATTTCTTGAGGTAGAAACGCTTCGTCGTCTCCTCGGCAGAGAAGATAGCAACCGGGATGGCTCGCTCTGTGACGGGTGCGTTCTTGGGTCTGGCGCAGATAATGAACTTGCAGTTGAGACCCTTGTCCTTGACCATCTGTTCACCCAAGAAGTCTGCCAAACGCTTCGCGGTGGTGATGGACGTTGACTTTTGCGAACCGTACTCCTCCAAGGTCTTGGACATACTTCTGTTTTCCGAAATAAGCTCCATGAGTTCCTCATCCGCTAGCGTTGCACCTTTGCTGTGCAATACATCAAGCCATTGGTTGGCTACCTTGGCAACGGCAGCATAGCACTCAGCGAGAGTTTCTCCTTCCAGAAAGAACTTGAAGATTTGCTGCTGGAAGATCTTGATGAGCTTCAGCTCACCTCTGCGCTTCACTTCGAAACCCTTCAACTCGGCCAAACTGCCGTCGTCGTTGAAGACTGCATAACGCTTCTTTAAGTTCTTGTCCTCCTCCTTGGAAGTGGGCAAGACCATGGCCTTGTAAGGGCCGTCGACTTCGAAGAAGATGGAGTTATCGCTGTGCGTCTCGTACTTGAGAGTCTTGGGGTCTGTGAGCGTCTGGTACTGGTGGTTGGTGAACTTGGCGTGGACCAAGTGGTTTAACATGGTACAGGGGTACGAGATGGTGACCTTCTTGCCCCCCTTGGTCTTGAAGGCAAAATTCTCCGGAAATGTGGCGGGAAGCATACACCAGATACCATCGGTATCCAATTCCAAGGGACGACCCAATCGCTCAACGAGCGATCTGGCCAGCTGAATAATTGTCGCTCCTGTCAGACACGTAACACCAGCCATTTCCATGGAATACCATCTGGATCCCTTTCTCATGACATAACCATAGAATGAGTTCAAAATGACCTTGTGGGCAAGCTGCAGCGAGTCGAAGAGAATAATCATCTTCTTCGCAGCATCGACTTCGCTGGAAGTTGCGCCAGAGGACTTTAGGGCCTCCGTCTTGCCCTTCCAGACCTTGGCTTTACCCTTGTAATCGTATCGACGATCACGGAAGTCTCGTACGGTGTTAATGTAGAACGGGTTCTCTCGCTGACAGATGATGGCCTCCTTGACAGTTGTCGTCGAGTCGTGGATCTTGTGGTAGACCTTTTGTGAGAATATCTGCAATCGCTTCCGCAGGAGCGCCGTCTGCTCGTCGGGCGACAAATCCTGAAAGGTCCGCTGGGGCGAATTCGGCCACTTGCCGGGAAACTTTTCATTCTCCAGAGCGTTCCTGATCATGTTGTATTCGTCGCGCTTGGCCGGTAAGTATTCACCTCTCCATGCCCACGGCATGCGTCTGTCGCACGTCTTGCCGGGGCGGTTGAAGTCGCATGCCGCACAGTCCGACTCTTGGATCATAGAGTCTGGTTGCAGACGGTTTGTCGTCATGATGTTGGGGTACATGGACGCAACGTCGAGATGGTAAATCAGGGGTCGCTCGCTGCGGTTCGGCGTCTCCTTCAATGCGCGTAACCGGGAAGCGATTTGCTCTCTGATCTCGTTGTAGTTTTCAATGTCGTCCATGGATTTCTTTTCCTCCACCGTGATACTGAATTTGAGCGCGGCGTCCAAGTCATTCAACAGCTCGTCGACTGCACCTGTGTCAACTGCAAAATTGACGGGGATATCGGCGCGGAAGACGCCGGCTTCGATACTTTCGACGTGGCCACCAACATACGTCTCTGAGTCAAGCAAATGACCTTCGTAGAACGCTTCTCTCGGCGACACGTGCTTGTTTGGTAACACAATCTCTTGCTGGTAGGCCTGCACCATCAACAACATCTCGCAAAGGGTACCGGTACCCTTTCGTAATGTGTCGTCGCCACCAAGAGGCAGAATCGTGCAGAGAGAGAAGATGAAGGGGTGGACGTATTTCATGTACAGGTAGTACGTCGCCACAGCATCGGACACTGAGTACTCGGCCAGGGTCTGGGGGCGTTCCTGGGCGTAAGGCGTCATGAGTTCGGGATCGAGCTCGTCGGGATCGTAACCGAGCTTGGCGACGGTGACAGCTTTCAGACCTCGGGATCCCTGAGGCAAATAGGAGTCACGGTTCACCCAGTGGAAGCAATCCATGTGCACGCTGTAGCTGCACTTGTACTGGTCCTCGCTGTCCTTCTTCCAGCCAATCTCCTGGTACATGTCGATGCCGTTGATGCTAGCTCGGGCGTCGACAAAGGGCCAATCGAAAAAGTCACCGTTGTACGTCGCAATGACAGTCGGTCTCGCCTCCTTGATGTGCAGGAAGAACCTCTCCAGCACAGCCTTCTCGTCCGGTTCGTTGAAAATCATAAAGGGTCCTGGGTATTCCGGTTTCGGGGTGTAGTCAAAATCGCCAATGTCCTCGGAGATGATTTCTCTGTTCGTGATCAGGAAACCCTGCCCGTCAATCATGTACGAAATCATCATGACCTGGTCGATGGCGGCGTCGGGGAATTTGAGGGGCAGTTTCGTTGTCTCGATATCGTAGGCCATGACTACCGGGTCTGCCATGGCCAGGCGGTCCTCGTTGGTTGTGACTTTTGTGACGCCGTGCTTGACGTCGATGAAGTACCATTTTCCCACCCGAATATCTGCAGAGGGGTTAGCCGTGGCCGTATCCCAAAATCCGAGGACCCAAACCTACCCATATCTATCATTACTCTTACATGGTACGGCACGTCGTACTCTCTAATATCGACAATGAAGTCGCTGGCGTCGGCAAAAGAAGCATTCGTTCGTCTATCGTCATCTCGTGAATCGTCAAAAAGGTCAAAGTCGCCATTCATCCTGCAGCGTGTCGGTCAACGAAACCACCCAATATTTGCAAGAAAGCTTACGTTGAAACCTCGGCATATGCGTCCAAAGCATCCACATTCTTCCTATTCTTCGCCGCAATAGGCATAATGTCCTTCCGCGCCGCCATCAAATCCGCCACATTCGCAAACCTCAGCTCCAGAAACGTGCGGCGGTACCCCAGCAGGTGATTCGGCATCTTCAAATCCTCCTTGTCCACCCTCTTAATCGTCTTGACGACGCCGCCGCCGGGCACGCGCTTCAACCACTCCTCGACCTCGCTCTCGCGGCCCTTTTTCACGGCGATCAGAAAATACGGGTCGTACTCGACCGTCGCCTTGAAGTGCGCGCCGTCGTCCTCGATGAAGTAGCAGTCGAGCGCCGCCCGCCCGTTGGGGTTCCGGTCGTCCTCGACCGAGGTGGGCTGCACGTTGACGAGCCAGCCCTCCTTGCGCTTGCCGCCCTCGTAGCGGGCGAAGCCCATGTTCTCGTCGATCTGGTGCGTCAGCCGGGTGCGCTCCCACTTCTCGTCGGCGGAGGTGGCCTCGTTGCGGCCCGAGGCGGCAAAGGTGCGCGTCGTTCGTGAGGGGCCGTGGTAGGCTTGCTTGCCGCCGCGGCGGTAGCCCTTTTGCGGGCGCCGTAGGCTCGTGTTGGGCATTGTGGGCGGCTGTTATATGGTTGAGACTTTGGTAGGCGGCAGGGGAGGTTTCGAGGGATCTTGTTGATCGGTGTAGATCTCCGTCGAGGGACTCTAGGTAAAGGAGGTCTCTCGAGGAAATCGCAGCCTCTAGGTAGTCATGAGACAAGATCAGAGAGACAAACGGCTAGGTTCGTAGCAGCGGGGGAGAGTTGACAGTGAGAGACTGGTGGTGGGTATCAAGAAGGCTCTCTCTCTCTCTGTGTCTCTGTCAAGACCAACAAATAAAGGGAAGTCTGTCTTGGTGACGAAAAAAACCAAGAACAACCGAGAGAAAACGGGGTATTGACGATCCTAGGAATAGGAATTGGACGAGTGGGAGAGTGGGATTTGTCACTCTTGCGTTCGAGAACCAGAGAGCATTGAGCTTTTGCGCATTGGGGACGGGAGTGGAGGGTCTCTATCCAATTACTCGTTGTCCAGGGCAAAAAAGGATGGTACCAAAGACGCGTCTTCCCCGTCGCGACTTTACGCGAAATCTGCACGTTCTGCAGGCCAGAACGGGAGACCGGGGGATCCACTTCAATTAAGCCCAGCATCCCGCGCGACAGCTGCGCAGCGCCTGCGCACCGCACTCTCCGTCTGCAGGGGAATTTAAGCGCAGGGGCACGGACCATGGACACCGGCCCAGCAACGAACCGTCGACGGGGGGAGTGGAGGTCCAAATTCGGTGGACGTCATCTCAGGCCACGGGCAGACTTTGAGAGCTTTACCGGGGGACGGACCGAAAGTCAAGAGTCGGGATTCACAAGAACCAGCATCGAATGCGCTCGATCACGCTCACACTAGACACATATAAGAGCTAGACCTTTGCACATAATGGCAGACTCACCAGACAACATCCCGGGCCCCAAGAAGGAAGGCCAGAAGCTATACCTCTGGTCCCGTTCAAGCCAAGGACCAGTCGGGGAGGGAGCTCCGGGTTCAACACCTACCACAGCATCACCAACTTCACCGTCATCACCACCGGAGCAAGCGTCCGACCCTAAGCTCAACCCGACCGACTTCCAGAAAAACTTCCCGACGCAGGATGGTGCCGCCGCGCCGGGGTACCCGTCCATCGGCGAGGCCGTCAAGACCATCAAGTCGGACGACTTCCTCTCCGTCACTCAGACGCCGTGCGCGCGGGACGGGTTTCTCACCGGTATCGCCAGCGGCGCTGGTGTAGGAGGATTCAGATATGTGTTCGGAGGTACATCTCCCCTAATCATTCCTGTTCTACCTTGTCTCCATATGAAAATCCCCTCTCGCATCACCTCACCCTCACCTTCACACTCACACTCAAACTTATGTTCCCACCCCTTTTCTTACACTGCACTCATCCTCATCCATAATAAGAGCCAGCCACTAAAACTCTCCACCAGGCTCACCCATCAAGGCGGCAAACTGGGCCGTAGGCAGCTTCCTGATCGGCTGCATCGGCTCCTACGAGTACTGCCAGATGAAGAGGCGGCAGGAGCGCGTCAAGATGAAGCGCACCGTCGAGGTCTACCAGGAGACCATGATCGACAAGCGCCGCCGCGAGATCGAGCAGCTCAAGCAGCAGGCCGAGCAGAAAAAGGCAGAGGAGGAGGCAAAGGCCGCCAGCCAGAAGTCTTGGTACAAGTTCTGGTGAAAGGAACTCGTGGTAGAGAGAAAGGTTAGCACTCTCAAAGGGATCTATCTCTTGCCGAACCATGCCTTGTATGAATAGTATGTTCACAAAGGGGATAGAAGACAGCATCTGCGAGTGGCTTTGGCCCGCGATGCACGTGTGTTGAAATAACTGTATCATCATCCATTCGATTTAGGGGTATAAAAGAAAGACTATTTGTATCATTTCATCCATTCTTCCTTGTTCCCCCCTTTCCTATAATTCCTGTCGCAGTCTTTGCTGCGTGATGTGAAGGGGATATCGTGCTGGCCATCAGTCAAGTGATGAACCGCAATCCAGAAAAGTCCATTCGTAAATAGACGCACCCATATGGTTCACCCATATGGTTCATTAAACGCCCCTTATCCCAAACGCCATAAGAAGCCTTCCGTGGCCATTCCTTCAGCCTAGGCCATACCAAAGCCAAACGACAGGGCCCAATGACACCAGGCCTCGTCGCAAAAAAATTTCCCTGTTTGCACCCATTCTGTGACTGTCCTTAGACGTTCGTCACAACTGTACTGGCTTCCGATTCGGTGAAGCGCACCTTTCGCACGCCGCCGCCGCTGCCGCCAGCGGAAGGCTTGGAAGGAAGACCAGCGCCGCTTCCTCGTCTCCGCTGACTTCTTCTGGCCCTCGCCTCGCTCTCCTCCCTCTTCTTGTACTCGGCCAGCTGCAGCCGGCGCTTTTGTGTTCGTGCATATGCCATCGCAGCTGTGGGCATGAACCCGACCCCATTAATGCCTGTGCCGTCGTCGTCCTTGTCTTCTGGGTCGTAAATCGTAATCTCTTCCTCCTTCCAGGTGAGCGCAGCCCTGACCGGATCCACAATCGTCTTCATCTCCTGGTCTTCTTGTTGTTGCTGCAGTCCAGCAGTGGCAGATGCCGCGTTGGTCTTGTTGGTTCCCTTGCGGCCCTTGAGCGGTGGTGTGCCGGCGCGTCTCCGTCCTCGTGCTTTCGGATCTTGTAGTTTGTCGAGCGAAGGCTGGGGGGGATGTTGTTGTGCGCTCGTGGGTAGGGTTGTGGCGGCAGCAGTGGGAGCGTCTTCTTCTGTGAATTGCGATTTCGGGGTAGGCACCGGATCGCTCTTAACATCAGGGTCCGGAATGACGACCAATGCGTCTGCAGCAGTGGTAGCGGTAGCGATCGCGGCGGTGGTATTGTCGCCCTCAACGTCCGTCATCTCCAGTTCGGGGACCTTGATTCTCTTGCGGCTGGCAAACGGGTCGTCGTCAGAATATCCGTACCCCCTGCCGTCCTTGTGCTCGTCGCGCGTCGGGTCATATGCGGCGCTGCCGGGTCCAGCAGCAGCAGCTCGGTTCTGTTGCTGGGCTACCCCGCCCCCACCACTATTCCCACCCAACGCCAGACCACGGAACTTGTGAACAACCTTGCTGTGCGGGCTCGCGCTGCCGTCTTCTGCGTCGCTGCTCTTGGGGTGGTCGGCAGACAGCTGGAAGCTGAATCTGGAGGTTGTGTATATCGGCGACACCGGCGGGGCGTCTTCGTCTCTCTTGCGCTTCGGCGTCGTCGTCGGGGTTGGGAAGGGTTCAGCCATAATGCTGTGCTGTGTGTGCTGTATGTGGTAAGGTATACTGCGCAGGTAGCGCCGCACTTAGGCGGTTGATGGTGTGGGCTGATTTTGGGAAGGTATCTGACTCGTTCGGGATATTGGTGGCAAATAGGAATGAGTCGGACGATGCAATAAGGCGAAGGACCGTAGTTGTCAGTTGGTAGGATATTGGTTCAGTTAGGTAAGTTGAAGTTGTAAGCTTTTAATTCTCGAGGATATTGGGTATCGTGAATTTGTGGCGGTCAAGAAGCGCAAGTTATCAAGGTAAGGAAGGTACGGTGAGGTAGTTGTTGAAGAGAAAGGCTCTAACTTGGTCAAGTGATTGAATACTTTTTAGTCTTGGGAGGCAGATCCGGCAGTTACCCTTTGGATCTGGGCTGGTCCTTCCTTCCCTGAGTACAAAACTTGCAAAATGCCCACCAAATGACTGTTACGTGGGCGTGATAAGCTAAACACATCCACGCTAAAATAAAGCTAGAGCCCCTCGGTGAGCTGCGTACGCCGTGTACGCCATGTACGCCGTGGGAAACCTCTCTCATCTTCATCCCATGTTTTGTGACCCCCCAGCTTCGTCAGAAGATTCAGCCAAATCGGGTCATTTCCATCCTATACGGACGTTATTGGCTGACATGTATCCCCAGGCTCTCAAAGCTTGAAGCGCTGCTCAGGAGCACCGCTGCCGGATGCAGTCTCTACCTTGGGAGGTGATTACGAGAAATGCTCACCGACTTGTGAAGCCAAAAGCCAAGGCAAATCAGTTACCAGGTTTTAACTATGAAGCAATTTCATTATCCATTCTAGATACTCATTGATATCATCACATCCACCCCTCAGCACCAATAACTTCCAAAGCCTCTCTACTCGCTCCAAGCCTTGTACACAATCCTCGTGCCATACGTCTCCCCCTTCTTCAACAACATCTGACCCTTCCACTCATCCACATTAATCGCATTCACCCACCGACTCGGCTCAACACAAAACCCGCTCCTCTTGCCCCGCGCCGCAACCCCTCCCACGGCGGGCACATCGATCCCCTCGCCCGTGTAAAACTGGAACGCCGGCTCCGTGCTGAGAACCTCGAGGTTGACCCCGTTCTTGGGGTGCTTCGCGTGCACGTGCAGCTTCAGCGGCGCTTGGCGGGTATCAATCGGTACCGCGCCAGCCTCCTTCTCCTCGACGACGACAAAGCAGTCGTCCACCGCAGGGGCCTCGACGCCGAGCTCAAACGGCTTGCCACCCTCGATGCCAGGGAACGGCGCGGGTCCACCGGTGGGGATACCGTCCTCGCGGGGCAGGTACGCGTTCGTCGCCAGCGTCGCGACGGTGCCGGCGAACGTCTCGTCGCCCGTGAGGTTAAAGTACGAGTGGTTCGTCATGTTAATCGCCGTCTCCTCGGCACCGTCGACAAGCTGCGCCTCGTACTCCATGCCCAGCACCGAGACCTCCTTGCCATCCACCTGCTGCGTGCCGGCCGTGTAGATGACCTTTACCTGAACCTTTCCGGGGAACCCTTCGTCGCCGTCCTCGCTGGTGAGCGAGAACTCGACGCTCTCGCCACCCTGGAGATCCCCGACGCCGGGGATCGCCCGGACGCCGACGGGCTTGGGGCCCTCCCAGACCTTGGAGCTCCAGGGCTTGGCGCCGCCGTGCAGGTTGTTGTTGCCATCGTTGGCGGCGAGCTTGTACGTCTTTCCCCCGTTGAGGGACTTGATCTGCGCCGAGGCGAGGCGGTTCGCGACACGGCCGACGGTGACGCCAAAGTAAGGCGAGTTGTGCTTCTCGTAGAGGTCCTGGGTCGGGAAGCCCTGGACAATGTTGACGCCCTTAACCTTGAAGGACTGCAGGATGGCGCCCAGGGGCAGGAACTCGAAGGTAGCATCCGACATTGTGTGAAAGGTATGTGTGGCCTTTGGAGGAAACGGGCTTGGTGAAGAGGATAGGTAAGGTAGTCGATCGAAGTGTTAAATCACGGAATTCTCAGTCCAAAGTGAAAGAGAGCTACGACAGAGACCTGGAATCACGTAGAGCTGTATTTTTGGGCAAGGGGACAGCAACCCTTTATGGAGTGCGACCAAGAGTCCCGTCACTGGTTGACATGGCGAAACATGCAATTCAGGCTATTATTGCTTGTATCTGCGCTTGTTGGCCGATGTAGTGGGGTGTTTGGACGAGGATGGCCGATGGAGGAGGGGGGGAAACAGTTGAAGAGAAATGACGGCGTCTGCGGGGACGCACGCCCGCGGCGGGGTAAATTGGAGACACAAGAGACGTCCAGTACCGATAGGTGTTCGAACGGACCACCTGGCGGGGAAGCTTTCCCCTCTGTTTGGCCGGTGCTCTCACTCCTCAACACCGAACCAGGAGGTTCCTAGACCCATTTCGAGCGGCCATGCTGTTGTCTTACTGGTGCGTCTAAAACAACACGAGCAGCTTTGCGCCTTGTCTTCGCGTCTCCGGCTTTTTGGGGAAATGGATGGATCCAAACCTGCCAAGTTCCCAGAGGACCAGAGGGGTGCTGGCGGATGGCGGATACAGACGACAGTCAACTTGAGAGGCCCGCTTGAGCTGGGTAAGAAACTAAGACTGAAGTAAGAGTTTGCTCTCATCCGCGACCTGTGAGTGGATGAACATGTTGTCAATTGTCCCGAATTCCTGAGAAACCCATCGTGGTCCGAAAATTAGTGCATTAATATCGTGTACAACCTTTTGGTGACCCCTTGTCCTCTTCGGGCGACACTCCGCGATGTAGCGCCACAAAAAAACCAGAGGTCTCATGCTTCCAAGGTACATATGATACAACGAGCAACAAGCACACTCATATGAATGATGGACCGCCAACACATGATACAATGTCCCATCCCAATATTCGTTACATCAATCCGATTCTTCGTCGTCGTCGCCGAGGAACGCCAGGTCCGCTCGCGCCTTGCCTCGTGCACGCGACGGGATGTGTGACTCTTGGTCCTCATCATCTTCGTCGTCTTCGTTGTCTTTGACGTTCTCGTCGTCAGAAACATCATCCTTCACAGCCTTCTTGGGGGCTGGTTGGCCACGCGCTTTGCTTCGAGACGATCTGCCTTCTGCGCCCCAGTTGGCATTCATCTCCTGAACTGCTTCCAAGTCCGCCTCCAGTTCTCTGCGCTCCTTGATCTCTTTTGCCTTTGCTTCTGAAAAGCGACCATCCATTCCAATGTCTTTGAGCATGCCTCTGAGGTGCCTAATCTTGGCCTTGGTATCGTCTCCGTATTGCTTCAACTCAAAGCCCCAGATTTTGCGAATACCACACTTGACCAGATGAGACTGTAGCTTTTTGATTTCTGCATCGTCGGGGTTCTCTGGGGCTGCCGGTGCCTTCTTCTGCTTGGGTGCCTTACCCTTGGTCTTGGTGCCCGCTCCAGCTTCCTTCTTCTTGCGTTTCGGCTTGGGTGGCTCGTCTATCACGTCCGATAGCTCGCTAGTCGTGTCGTCTGCTGGTCCCTCGGCCTTCTTCTCGTCTGAAGCTTCAGGCTGCTTCTCGATTGACTCGTCATCCTTCTTCGCCTCGACCTTCTTCTCTTGTGACTTTTCCTCCTTATCCTCGACCTTGTCGTCCTCGCTGTCAGGTGGGGAGCTCAAGGCATCTGAACCACTCTCTTCAACCTTGCTCGGGCGTCCGTTGGCGGATTTAGACGCCTTCGGCTTGGCAGGGCTCGCTTCGTCAGAATCGGAGTCGATCACAGGAGTTTCCTCCTTCTTCTTCCGCGGAGCTGCTTTCTTCTTCGGCTTCGCCTTTGGCTTCTCCTCCTCGGAGGCGGTCGCCTCGGATTCTTCTACTTTGGCAGAGGCGCGCTTCCTACGCTTGGCAGGTGGTGATTTTTCGGCTGCTTGACGCTTGCCAGACTTCTTTGGCTTCGCATTTTCTTCATCTTCATTAGGTTCGACTTCGGCATCGGGGTCGGCGTTGCCCTCCACGAGGTCGGTCTAGTATGATGTCAGAAAGACATAACCCGACACTGCTGGCGGTGCTCGTGCCTGTACCAGTGCTAGGGAGGGGTTAGGTAATTACAGCAAGTTCTTTGATGAGCTTTTTGCTCTTATCCTTCCATTTTCCTGAAGAGAGCAGTTCATCTTCGAGTTCGAGATCTGATTCGACGCGCCTTCGGATGGAGTTCACGTTAAGGTTATCGATATCCGTCTTGAAGACCTCGCGAACTTTGGCGAGGATCGTCGCCTCGATCTCCTTGTCTGAGGGAGCCATCCTTGTAGGTTTCGCCGGGATGAATGGAATCAATGATGCAATTGAACGTTGATGCCGTCGACAAGGAAATTCACAGCTCCATTGGGCATTTGGCGCGGAACGGGGTAGAATGCAGCAGCTTTGAGACTCTGTCGCGCAGGAAGTCGCGTCGAGGGACAGTGTCTGAGCGCAGCAGGTGGGCGGCGACGCGGGCAGGCGCAGATCAAGCGCAACCGGGGTAAGCTGCGACTGATTCGACCGGAGTGGGGCGGCAGTCATCCGACGTCAGTATCGGACCTGGTCCGAGCTTTTCACATAGAAGGCAGGATGCAACGGCGCCGGGAGGAAGGAAAGATGGCAGCATTGTGCGCATGTTCGAATCAGTCATTCCTTTCTCGTTACAACGCAACTATCAGTCTTGAGAAAGTAAGGCTGCTACTTTCAAAGTTCTCCTGAATATCACTCCCCGGCCAGGACTAATGACGTATTGTCGAAAGTTGGCTTACTTGATCTGATTTACGACATTGCACTCCGTAGTTATGTAAATAATAAGTGCTGAGGCTTAGTCTCAAAAGCCCCTTGTTTATCCAGTACAATGTGCCCAACGAAAGCTCGGAGAGTGAATGTGAGAAAGGGCATGGAATCCCTCCATGCCGCCGTTTGTTTAATGTCCATGATATATCTCTCGATCATTTAAATATGTGCAAATTCAGATCTAGATTGATTGTAAGCTGGTCCATGACGGGCGGGCCGAGGACTAACACCGCAGTCAACCTCGCAAACTTGGATTTGCGGGTGTCAGGACATTTTGGTCCGAAAGTTATGGGGCCGTCGATGTCAGTCCACGGTAGCCAAACAGGGAGCCTGGTCGACCTTGTGGGTTGGATGATTGGGCTAGATCGTTCTCCAAGCACCTAGCGTATGTCATTGGTTACGAAATGGTCGAAATGCCCAGCAATCGGGGCCGAAGCTCCTGCACAACTGCAATGACGGAGGGGAAGCATGTTGATGTTGATGCTGGATAACATTTGATACGAGGATGGTGACAGCACATTTACGTTGCGGGACTGATCACCACTTAATGTGCACCCAGCCGTTAAATGCGAAGCCCCACTAACCTCGAAAGCCTCGGGATTTTCCGAAAAGATGCAAGGTACTCTTCTCTCCAAAGAGTAAAGAGGCAGCTGGAGAAGCGCGGTCGAGGGGGAAAAGAGGGCTCTTGTGTGGCAGCGACAGGCTCACATTGTCACCGGGAAGCCACCCAAAGCCTGGTGACTCGATTTGCAGGAGAGACCGGATGTCATTACGATGGGTGGATGCAGGGAAATTTTCAAGAGACATCGTGAACATTCTCTCCTCTACCGCCGATAAAGTACCCACATCTCGGCGCCGGATTCCCCACCATCTGGCGGAAGGTGTCCAGGTCTTATGTACATCTACTTGACACCTCAAGCTCTGGATGTCTTTTGAGCTCGTCCTGCGAGAGAAATGGATGGCAGAAGACGCAGGCGAGGTAGATTCGGCTGGACGGGCCTGTTGGAAAAATATCGCTCATATTGCCTCTCGGTCAGATTGTCTATTTGTCCGGGCCAGAAAGACAGTGGTAGGAGAGACGGCCTATAATTACGCAGTAAGGTAGAGAGAGGTTGGAGGGGTGGCAGAGGAAAGAGTGACAGGGCCGGGAATTCCTCGCAGTGATTTGACATGGATCTCTACCCAAAATTACGTAGATGGCACCGCAGCAGGTATCTGTACATGACCTTGCTCCCTGAGTAGGCATGCTCCGGCTTTGACCTCACCTCAGTCCAAGAGGCCCTTGGGTAACTTGAGTGACCACGTTTCGTCTGCCGCGTTTGGTGCTCTTCTCTTATCTTGAGGTGTTGCCGTGCAAATAACACCAAACATGTAGGCCATGTAGACCAAGAAAAGCGTCAAATCCATTCGTACTTTTCTCCATTGCCTTTGCTCAAAATGCCCCACAAACCAAGTACCTCTACTTCTGGGGAAACGCAAGTTCTGCCTTACAGTAGTGCGCCAGTGTTGCATCAGGTCGAGCTTTCTCCGTTGTGCAACTGCTGCCCGTCTAGTTTGGATTGCACTGAGCCGGATTGACACTTTCCTGCTTCTTCTCAACACCCTCTCGTCTGCCCTCTCACCCGCCAGGACCTCACTCAGTCAACAAACGCAGCTTGACAAGCCAACCACCGACTAGCCACCGTCCTCCGTCGCTTTCCACCTCACCCTATTGTCACCCACCTGAGGTTCTCTCCTCTCTCCATTCACCCAGACCAAGCTTGTCCTACATTGCACTGCTTGTTTCTGTGCATTGCGTTTCCACGTAGCTGGCGTCCGACAGCCCGGCTTCCTCCAATACCACTGCATCCCTACCGTCCCGTCCACATACCTTATACATACACTGGTCGCCGTCGCCCTTATTCGAAGCTTTTCTGCGAGCCACGATTCACTCCCACCTCTCTCAGCAACTCAAGAAGCTACCGACTTTTGCGACGGAGCTGTGTCCAGCACCAATCTGCCCATTTTGGTCTCCCTCAGAGAATCAAACAAGCACCAGCCCACCCCTGTGTGCTTTTCACGTTGCCGTCACTGGAGCTTTGGGTACTTGATCTTCCTGGCATTTACCCCTCCATCATCCCCGCAAGCTCATCCCAGCCAGTCTCAGCTAACACCTTACCCTCCCGCCACAGGACACCCCAGCATACCTTAGCTATTCTTGTTCCCTAATTACCTGCCACCCATCGAACGAACCCTCCACGAAATCTTTCGCACCACCATCTTCCACCGAACACCTTCAGCACCAAGCAAATCGCACAAGATGCCTTCGCTCGTCCCCGACGAAGAGACTGCGCCTGGTCGCCTACTACTGCTCTCCAACCGACTGCCCATCACCATTAAGCGTTCCGACGATGGCAGTTACTCCTTCTCCATGTCCTCTGGTGGTCTCGTCACCGGCCTCAGCGGCCTGTCAAAAACGACCAGCTTTCAATGGTACGGCTGGCCAGGCCTCGAAGTTCCCGAGAACGAAATTGCCGGCATGAAGCAGCGCCTCAAGGACGAATACGATGCTCACCCTGTCTTCATTGATGACGAGCTCGCTGACAAGCACTACAACGGCTTCTCTAGTATGGACGACCCTCCCTTGCCTCTATACTTCCTAGCTCGACTAACAACCAACCCTTTTTCGCAGACTCTATTCTCTGGCCGCTTTTCCACTACCACCCCGGTGAAATCACATTTGACGAGAGCGCATGGGCCGCTTACCGCGAAGTCAACCGCCTGTTTGCCAAGGCTGTCGTCCAGGACGTTCAGGATGGCGATCTGATCTGGGTTCACGACTACCATCTGATGTTGCTGCCTGAGATGCTTCGCGAGGAAATCGGCGACTCCAAGAAGAACGTCAAGATTGGCTTCTTCCTGCACACGCCTTTCCCTTCTTCCGAAATTTACCGTATCCTTCCCGTTCGCGAAGCCCTCCTGACGGGCGTCCTCGACTGCGATCTCATCGGATTCCATACCTACGACTACGCTCGTCACTTCTTGAGCAGTTGCTCTCGCATTCTGTAAGACGCATTCGAAAAGCGAAAGCTTGTTCTCTCTTGAACACAAACTGACGTCACATGTAGTGGAACTCCTACGACCCCTAATGGTGTTGATTACAATGGCAAATTCGTCACCGTTGGCGCATTCCCCATCGGTATTGATCCTGAGAAGTTCGTCGAGGGCCTCAAGAAACCCAAGGTTCAGGAGCGCATTGATGCTCTTACGCGCAAGTTCAACGGAGTCAAACTCATTGTCGGTGTCGATCGCCTCGACTACATCAAGGGTGTCCCTCAGAAGCTCCACGCATTGGAAGTCTTCTTGACAGAACACCCCGAATGGATCGGCAAGATCGTGCTAGTTCAGGTTGCCGTGCCTTCGAGACAGGACGTTGAGGAGTATCAGAATCTGCGAGCCGTGGTCAATGAGCTTGTCGGCCGGATCAACGGCAAGTTTGGCACCATCGAGTTCATGCCCATTCACTTCCTCCACCAGAGCGTCTCCTTCGACGAGCTCACAGCTCTTTACGCCGTTTCCGACGTCTGCCTTGTTTCCTCCACGCGCGACGGCATGAACCTGGTCTCGTACGAGTATATTGCTACTCAGCGCGAGCGTCACGGTGTCATGATTCTGTCCGAGTTCACCGGCGCTGCGCAGTCCCTCAACGGCTCTCTCATCGTCAACCCATGGAACACTGAAGAGCTAGCAAACGCCATCCACGATGCCGTGACCATGTCCCCGGAGCAGCGCGAGACCAACTACAAGAAGCTCGAGCGCTACGTTTTCAAGTACACGTCATCCTGGTGGGGACAGTCCTTCGTCGCCGAGATGACTCGCCTCTCCCAGGAGGCGACGCAGTCTAAGACGTTGAAGAACGTTGGCGGCAACGTGATTGGTCAGGTCACCAAGGCGATTCAGGGCGCTGTCGATAGTGTCACCGGTAGCAAGGATGGCGCGGAAGATGCAAAGGAGACGAAGGCGGAGAAGCAAGAAGCATAACGGCCAATTGTATATCCAACAAAACTTGCAAACCAAGTTATCTACTTTTCCACTGGACAAGAGGCCGCCCGGCCCGTTTTAACGAAAGCATGATTGAAAGAGAGAAAAGAAGAAAACGTTGCCCTTTTCGGGCAAATTTTAGCTGGGCGAGGAAGCATACATGATCGGAAACAATGGCATCGAGCCGAGCGGAGTTTTTGGGATTTTCTTTTCATGTGCTTTTGTTTCATTGCTGATGCTGGCGAGGGGGGTACGGATGGACCGATCGCATGAGAGGGAAATGTGTCGCACATGAGGTCTTTCCAATGCATTTGTTTTGATTTGGTTTGCTCTAGGGTGCATGACCGTAATAGACTATCTACTACCTATTTGCTCCAGGAGAGCTGGGCAAACCAGCCTACCTTGTAAACGACGCAATACACGGTATCAAGGGCAGGCAACGAGGATTCATTCAGAGTTCATGTGCATTCAGAGTTGTATGAATTTGAGAAAAAAACGGGCTAATTTCGCATTTGCCAGAACTAGAAAAGGGAGAAGTGGAACAAGCTACCAAAGCTTGCTCACTCGCGGAGCTCTCAAAAGGTATCTAGAAAGGTACCCCTTCTTCTCGTCATGGTAAAATATCAAGAGAGAGAGGAGGTAACGAAGTAAAAAAGCAAGCAAGAGTGAAGATACCTGGCGGCACAAGAGCAAGAAGAAGTAGAAAAGAAGAGACAAACGTGTTGTGCTGTAAGTCCCTCCCGTAAAAGACCCCCCTCCTCCTCCCTCATCACACTCCCGTCCCTTTGCGCTACGCAAATCCAGCGTATTCTCAACCTTGAAAACGCCATCGTGGGGATCAAATAGTCCAACATGAACGCATCACACATAACACACAAAGAAGGCCTCCCTCTCTCGTCCAACTTAGTACGGCGACGCGACGATATCCTCCTTGCCCAGCTTGTACCGACCGCTCTTGGGCGTCGTGATCCGTCCAGAGTCCCTGCGGCCCATGCTGAGCTGTGCAAAGTTGCCGGCGATGCTCTCGCGCGTAGGGCGCTTGAGACCCTGCTTGCCGACCATGTTGACCTCGTTGGGGAGGGCGACAATGACGTTCTTGTCCGTTCCGAACTTGAAGTCGTCGGCCTTGACCTCCTCGGCGTAGCGCTTGATGCGGTAGGCGGCCTTGGCTCCGCGGAGAACCTTCTTCAAGCTCCACTCCACGATGTACGGGCCGGTAGCGGTGATGATGCTCGTTTCCTCGACGCCCTCGCCGGCGTTGAAGCGCGCAGGTGTGAATGACACCGGCTTGCCGGTCTCGTGGGCGAACTGGGCAACGTGCTCGGGCGTCAGGGCCAGACGGCGAGGTTGAGGCTTGTCGGAAGCAGCGAAAGACTTTTCGAAACCAAGCTTGCCCTCGTTCTTGCCAGACTTTTGCATCGCGTCGATGAGCAGGATGTACGTTCGGCAAGTGGCGAGGACCCAGCGACCATCGGCAGATGTATCGAGACCGAGAATGGCTTCACCGAGAGCGGGGATGTGAGTCTTGGCGTTGATTCCTAGGCGATCGAAGAGGCGTACGTCACCCTTGTTGGAAGCGACGGCGATGTATCCCTTCTCCGTAGTAGAGATAGCCGAGAAGTCGTTCTTGGAAACGTACTGCTTCAGCTGAGAATCAACCAGCTTGGTGCCGGACAAACGAGGGTCGACCCGGTAGAGGGCATTCTTGGAAATACCAAGGAAGGTCGGCTCGTGGGTCACCTGGGCGAACTTGTTCTCGGGAGCAAAGTTAAGGACAGGGATATCCTCGTGAACATTCCACTCGTCGACGACCTTGCCGTACTCGAGATCCATGCGATACAGCTTGTTGGGGTCCGACTCGTTCTGAAGAATCATGTTGCGATCCTCGTTGTGAAGCATAACCTTCTTGGGGCTGAACAGTGTACCCTTCGGAGTCTCGACCTTGGAAATATTGGTGGAGAACTCGAGGTTGTTGTTCGCCGTGTGCTTGAAGACGCCAATCTTGGATCCGCGCACGACGAAGGACCGGTCGTGCTTGTAGCCAACCGCAAGCTGAGAGTTGACGTTGCCATCCTCGTCCTTGGTCTCAACATCGTCATCCTCCTCGTCGCTGTCGTAATGCTCGCTACGCTGCGCATCATCCTCTGCATCTTCGTACTCCTCTTCCTCTTCCTCCTCCTCCTGCTCTTCGGGGGTATCTTCCATAACCAAATCATTGAAGGCGGACGTAATGTACTCCTGTTCTCTGTCCGTCTTCTTCTCCCACTTGACCTCATTCAGCTGCTCCCACAGAGCTCTGAGGAGAGCTTCTTGGAAACGTTCCAAAGTCGGCTGGTCCTTGAAACGGAGCAGCCAAGAGTATGCTGAGCCATCGGCAGAGAAGTGGTTGAAGATGAAGGACAAGAACTCGAAGTTGAAGACAGGATTGATATCTGCGATAATCGGGATGCCCAACCAAGCGCGGTCCTCGCTTTCGATTTGCAACCAGTACTCCCACTTCCCAACTTCCGTGACAGTGGCAGTGACGGCGGCAGCTTGCTGAATGAAGGAGCCAGAGGGATGGTCATAAAAGTGCAGCTCACAGCTCTCGGTGGCGTACGTGTCGAGAGCTTCTGGGGCCTCGGCCGACTTCGGAGGGCCAGTCGGCTTGGACTTCTTCTCCGGCGTGACAGGCATCTTGGCCGGCGTCTTCGTAGGGGTCTGGACAAGTGATTGCTCTTCCTTCTTTGTGGGTGTGATCGGGTCTTGCGGCACGAACAGACTATCGGCAGACTCGATTGATCTGACGAGCGTAGGGCTGTGGATGGGGCTTGCAGGAGGAATCGGCTGCTCGTCCTCAAATTCGAATTGCTTCAGGTCGACTTCGGATGCTGTTGTGTGCGGCTTGCGGTATTTGCGCTCGTACTGGCACTCTTTGGCGACACGCTCGAACTGCGCAACTTGTCCAGGAGACACAACGTTGTCGCAAACGAACTCATAGACGTCACCAGTATCACCACTCAGGTCTCTCCAGGCCAGAATCTTCTCCTTGCCTTCCCGGATCTCGATACGGAAGTGGAGGGCCTCGTCAAGCAGGAAGGTCTTTTCGTCTCTTTCGGCGGCGGCAAGTGCGTCGATCTCGGCGTCCTCTCCTTCCTCCTCGGCTAGAAGTTCGGCCTCGCCTTCCTCGTAGACTCTCTGTACCACGAGCTGGTATTGGAAATCCTGCGCAGTTCGTCGGATGCGGGCAGCTGCGTCCTTGAAGATGAGTTCGGAGTAGCCCTTCGGCGAGAGGGGGCGAACGAGGTAGAGTTGTCCTTGGGGGAGCTCGATGAGAGATTCTTGGTTGCTAGATCCAAAGATGAGTTTGCCAACTAGAAAAGAGAAAAAATGTTAGCATGTACTTAAGGGTTCTGGAAAATCGCAAACCGGCGCGGCAGTCACAAGTTGGAAAGGCGTTGATCGCGAAACGGTGACGAAAAATGACGCCCGACGAACGGTTCACATGCGCCTCGCCGTCGGTCGCGGGATAAGGCACAGCGGCGCGGTGAATCCTCCAAGTGATAGAGTAGCGGGGTAAACTTACCGTTTCTGAGGACAAACATCTTGAAGTTTGGGGCTTGTTTGGAAAGCTGTGTTGATCGTGGGCAGAGAGCTCTTGCGACGTGGTTTTGTATCTCTGCAAAGCAAGCCCGGCCGCTGGGTTGATCAAAGGACAAAGAGACGGAAAGTCCCAGACCTTGGCCACGAAACAAAAGTGATCAGGCACTAGGGAAGAAAATGCGTCATAAGAGGGAGCTTTTGAGTTGGGGTTCAGATGATGGAGGGGTGAAATGGCCTGTGGCTGTGCACGTCCCTTTTTCCTCCCAATTTTTTTGCCACGGTGCCACGGGACCGGGGTATCACGTGGGGCCCCCCCGGGCAGCGGCCGGTCCAGACCCACCTCGGACCCTTCCACCGTTCTACACTAGGCAGTACCTTACCCTTCCAGGTTCTTTCCCATTGCCTCACAGGCATATCGCCACTGCGAGACAGGAGTCTCAAGCTTTTGGAGGCCTCAGCTTTTTCTTCAACAATGACACTCTGACTTGTGGCAGTAATTTCTGCGCTTCAACAATCGACAAGAAGGCTACACATCGTTTGTTGGCACGTCTAACATGTGTCACTGGCTGACACGTATGTAGACGCCGGCACCCGGAGGGTGATGGGTGACAAGGATCGTTGGGTAAAATCCCATTGTCAATCATTGGAGTACAAATCAGTACTCTGCGCCTGGAATATGATTATTTCAGACATACCAGATCAGACATACCAGATGTTCTTAGAAACAAGCTGCTGCCTTGAGAGTTGGGTAGAACTCCAAGAGACATTGCTTTGGCCACTGAAGAAGTCCCGAACCTCGTACGAGGCAGCGAGCTCAGTAAGTGACAATTGAGGATATTTCTCTCTCGAAGAAAGTCGAGTAAGGGAACACAATCTGATACAGAATACCCAACAACAAGTATCATTCTGTACAGTCCTCTGAGATTACTGCGTCCTACGCATGTTGCAATAGTGAATAGAGCGCGGTGCTGAAAGACACCAGACAAACAGAAGGAAACAAAACTGTTCAACCCAGAGCAATTACAGCTCCTCAGCCACAGGCGCCTCCTTCTCAAATTGCCCCAGTACCTCCTGCGCACCATCAACCTCAATCTTCTCGAGTGTCTCCTTGGCCTCTGAGAAATCGTCGGCGATCAACTTTGCAATGTTCATTCCCATCAACGCGCTGGTCTCCATACACGAGATGAAGCTTTCGATACCCGAAAGATAATACAGTCCGTCCCTCAGTATGGGGTCTTGGAAAGTGACACGCGGGTATTCAATGGGGTATGAGTTGAACACATGCGGGTAATACCAAGAGATGGGTTCAACAGTGCGCTGGCCAGCTTCCCCTGACTTTTTGCCCGCAACAATGGACGCCGGCACTTCAACGCCAAGCAGCTTTGACAGAAACTCTGCCGTCACCTTCTTAGGAGAGAAGATCTTGTAGAGAAACTCGTCCTTGAGAGTGTCGGGGTTTGTAACGGTTCTGAGGGTGCTGACAGAGTAGAAGCCAGCCTTGCCAGCACCTTCAGAGCCAGCCTTTGCCTCGTCATCGGGGCCGAGCGTTGTGAGGACTGAGTCGGGTGCCTTGGAACCAGGTTCGAGACCAAAGTACTCCGGGGAGAGGTGGAACGGTGAGGCAAAAAGGGTGACGTGAAGCTTGGTATAAGGAACCTCATCAATCTTGTGCTGGAAAAGATCCTCTGAGACGCTGATATCTCCATACTGCCAAGGCGTCGCAATGACGACGTTGTCGAAAGCAATCGGGTACTGGTTCGATTCTGTCTCGGCTTCAGCATGAGCGTCTTTGGTTGAAAGTAGATACTTGGAGCTAGAAGGGCCAGACTTCACGGCGATCGATGTCACCGAAGTGTTGCGATGCAGTGTTGCGTTACTCCTTTGAAGCATTGTCTGGAAAACCTGCCAGTTGCCCCCAATGACTTGCCGAGCGCCTTCAGGGGCAAGAGAGACCATTGTCTCAAGACCGTGGATGTACTTCAGATTAGATGCGTAATTGACTCTAGTGGCTGCCTGGATGATATCGTGGGAGAAAAGTTCACTGATCTATCACCAATCGATTAGTATACAAAGCATCAGACAGAATCATGGTGGGCGTACATCGTTGTTGGCAAGAAACTGCTCCCCAGTAACGGAAGTTGCCTTCAAAAGATCCAGCTCGAAGACTCTTTGCGTGAGCGATCGGAAAGGAAAGTGAGGTTTCTCATAGAGCTGCAAAAAGGTCGCAACGGTCGACTGCACGAGCTTCTGCGCCTTGTACGGGGCGGTGCCGTACTTCCAGAAGAGCTTGGCCAAGTTCCACCAGTTCCAGGAACTATCGTCTTGGGAAAAGACAAACTTCTCGCCGTCCCAAATGCCCAGGAAGCCGTCACTGCCAGACTCTGGCTCTTTCAGGGGAAGCCCAAAGTTGATACTGGCATTATAGATGATGTGATTGGCCTCGATGAAGATGGAAGCGCCCAGCTCAACCGGCTCGAGCGGGTTGCCGTAAGCGTCGACGGTCAACGTCCGGCCTCCTACTCGGTCGGTCTTTTCAAACACAGTAATGTTTACGGGAAGACCTTCGGCTTCGGCGAACTTTTGGAGGTAGTAGGCCGCGGAAGAACCACCGGCGCCCGCTCCTACATATCGTGTAAGTACTGGGTTGAGCGGCGACGCGCTAAGGTCATGGACAAATCATCGGAGCTTCAAAGGTTTTCAAAAAGCAGCGTTCACGTACCAATAATGGCCACTTGCTTCACGCCATTCTCGGTGACAACCTGCTCAAGCTCAGTCGCAGGAACGGATTGTGTCAAGCTGAGCGCGGACAGCACAGCTGAGAGCTTGGACCCCCACATAATGTCGCGTAGATTGAAGACTACAAATACCAAATCACAGAACTAGATGAAGACGATGGGAGAAGGGAGAGATGGGAATGACTGGTCAGAAAGAACTGTGTCAGCGGTACGTTTAAGTACGCTTGGAAGATGAACAGGATGAAAGAAGAGCATGAAATAGATTCGTCATATGTGAGATGTCTCCGGCGTGTCTCCGGAAGGTCCCCAAATGAATTAAACTCAGGGTGAGTAAACAAACCGCTGCTTTACTTTGGTAGCTCTGGAATCTAGTGCAGGTGAAGCTCGCCTTTGGTACGACCAACGGAGATGTTGCAGCAAGAAACTGAACAGGAGGCGGTAAATGGGCCGTCCATAATACTCTGCTTTATTCTATGCATGAGTTTATCCAGTAAAAAGACGGTCTAAGTATGGATTCTGGATCTTGGTAGATGAGGCACTTGGCCTTCGCAACCACAGAAAAGATGTCACCGGCACAAGCTTGGGGTAAAGCAGCGGTGTATCCTTGGGGTGGAGGTTTCATTGCAGTGGTCCTCTAGGGGACCCCCAAGTCCCCACGTCCCGGTCTCCCATTCTCAGCTTGCATTCGCCCCATCCAGAGGCTCCAACAACGCACGGCTCATAGAACGGCGGGACTGTTGACAGAGCAGCCATTCGCACCTCACTAAACACATATTCCGCTACAGATGCAGCTATGCATATAGAGAGAATTAGTCAAGAATGGAGCACAGCAGGTGCCAGGCACCCACCACCACCAAGCTGGCAATTAGTGAGCCAGCACCTTCTACCAGTGGCTGACCGCCTGCCACCTCGAGGCAGAAAAAAAGTCACCAGCAGAGTCCCGCATCTGAAGCTCCCGGGGCCAGGTCAATCTCGAGAACACTCCACGTCAGGTCGCTAATCCAATAACCTTACCGACTGATACCCCCTCACGAACCCCTCGACGACCTCAAGCCAACATGTCTGCGGCGCAACTGCTCAACCCCAAGGCCGAATCGAGGGTGCGCGACCCTTGTGCTGACGATACTTGTTTGTATGCTAACGGCTAGTGCAGCGGCGGGGTGAAGCCCTGAAGGTCAACATCAGCGCTGGTGAAGGCCTCCAGGATGTCCTCAAGTCCAACCTCGGCCCTTTGGGCACCATCAAGATGTTAGTCTGTCGCTGTTCATGTCTTCAAATTAGATGCTAACATTAATAGGCTTGTCGATGGCTCCGGTCAAGTGCGAATAACTACCCCTCTTCCCCTGAATCCCCACCGCTAATGCGCCGCCAAACAGATCAAGTTGACAAAAGACGGAAACGTCCTCCTCCGCGAGATGCAAATTCAAAACCCTACCGCAGTCATGATCGCCAGAGCTGCGACGGCACAAGATGATATCTGCGGAGACGGCACGACATCAGCTGTCCTGTTGATCGGAGAGCTCCTCAAGCAGGCGGATCGGTATATCTCAGAAGGCCTGCACCCTAGAATTATCACGGATGGTTTCGAGATCGCCAAGAACGAGGCACTGAAGGTGGGTTTCTATTGAACACGGATACGTTGACAGTGGTGCTGACGGGCAAATAGTTCCTTGACGGCTTCAAGCTCGAGAAGGAGGTCGACCGCGAGTTGCTTCTCTCCGTGGCCCGCACGTCGCTTTCCACCAAGCTCAACTCCAACCTTGCGGCCAAGCTCACCCCCGATATTGTCGATGCTGTTCTCGCCATCTACCAGGCACCTGCCAAGCCGGATCTGCACATGGTCGAGATCATGAAGATGCAGCACCGGACCGCCTCCGACACCCAGTTGATCAAGGGTCTTGCCCTCGACCACGGCGCCCGCCACCCCGATATGCCCAAGCGCCTTGAGAACGCCTACATCCTGACGATGAACGTCAGCTTGGAGTACGAGAAGTCTGAGATCAACTCTGGATTCTTCTACTCTAGCGCAGAGCAGAGAGACAAGCTGGTGGAGAGCGAGCGTCGTTTCGTTGATGCTAAGCTGAAGAAGATTGTCGAGCTGAAGAAGGAGGTTTGCGGAAACGATCCCACCAAGAACTTCGTCATCATCAACCAGAAGGGCATTGACCCTCTTTCTCTCGACGTTCTGGCCAAGAACGGTATCCTCGCCCTCCGCCGTGCCAAGAGAAGAAACATGGAGAGACTGCAGCTCATCTGCGGTGGTGTTGCACAGAACAGTGTCGACGACCTGTCACCCGAGTCTTTGGGATGGGCTGGTCTTGTCTACGAGCAAACTCTGGGCGAGGAGAAGTACACCTTCATCGAGGAGGTCAAGGAGCCCAAGTCCGTCACCCTGTTGATCAAGGGACCCAACGCACACACCATCACTCAGGTTACGGACGCTGTCCGTGACGGTCTGCGCAGTGTCTACAACATGATTGTGGACAAGAGCGTCGTCCCTGGTGCCGGTGCCTTCCAGGTCGCCTGCGCAGCACACCTCAAGAGCGACGCCTTCTCCAAGACGGTGAAGGGCAAGGCCAAGTGGGGTGTCGAAGCTTTCGCCGATGCTCTGCTTATTATTCCCAAGACTCTCGCTGCCAACGCCGGTCTTGACATCCAGGATGCTCGTAAGTGCACAGTACGCTTGCCTTTGGAAGAAGATTTACTAACATGTCACAGTTGCTGCTATGCAAGATGAGCACGCGGATGGCAACATCGTTGGCTTGGACCTGGCAACGGGTGAGCCAATGGACGCAGAGCTCGAGGGTATCTTCGACTCCTTCAGAGTACTCAGAAACTGCATTGCCTCGAGTTCAAGCATTGCCTCCAACCTGCTTCTGTGCGATGAACTCTTGAAGGCGAGACAGATGGGCAGAGCGGGCGGCCCTGGCCCTGGTATGGACGGCCCCGAGGAATAAAGAGTTTGATGGATTCCAATGTTAAAGGTATTGGCACGGTAGACAAAAGGCGTTGATCTTAGATCTGTCAAAGCTGAGAGCCGGAATGATATCCAACCATGAAGACAATATCTGCATTCCATTTCGTGAAGTGTAGTAACTCAAAGGGGTTGGGGCATGTCAGTCAGGGGCAGCTTGCACTGTTTGCTACCCCTCGCTGGAGAAGGGCAGGCGAGGAGCGATAAGATAAGCCCCGCATCGAAATATTTCGAGAGCCAAAAAATCTTGACCCCACGTACCCAGCCCAACCCGTCAATTTCGCAGTTCATATCGATTTACGAAACCATGGCAGATTACGACAGTGATTCCTCCGAGCAGGAGTTCACCGAGACCAACGTGCTGCTGGGTTACGCCAGCAAAGACGCCGACGATGACACCATCAGTCGCCTTGGCGGTCAACCAGTAAGTCCCCTTTGCCGCCGCGCATCGACAAACAGAAAAGAGGTCCCTCCAGATTGACTGATGTTGTTTTCACTTGTAGGAATGGTTGAACCCCGAACAACCAGCCTCAGCAGCCCTGGCGCGCTGTAAAGTGTGCAACGAGATCATGGTCCAGCTTCTCCAACTCAACGGCGAGCTCCCCGAAAAGTTCCCCGGCCACGAGCGCCGCCTGTACGTCTTCGCCTGCCGCAAATCCACCTGCCGGCGCAAGCAGGGCAGCATCCGCGCCATCAGAGGTGTCAAGGTATCCAAGGAAGCGCAAGCAGCGGCAGCAAAGAAGGCGGAAGCGAAGCCTCAGAAGAAGGTGGAGGAGAAGGAAGAGCCCAAGAAAGACGTCAGCTCGGGACTGGGAACCGCGCTCTTTGGCGGCGGTTCCGGTGCGGCGAACCCATTCGGAGGCAACGCAAACCCGTTCAGCACGGGCGCCTCTTCAAGCAGCAGCCCCTTTGGCACCGCCGCCCCGTCGAACCCGTTTTCTAAGCCCGCTGCCGCCGACGAGCCTACACAGAAGAAGGAGGAGGCCAAGGACCCGGCCGAGTCCCTCCCCAAGACATTTGCTGAGACTCTGAACCTCAACAACACGCAAACGCCGTCCGGACCGCCCCCGCCGCCGGAGCCGTGGCCCGCGGCCGACGCCCTACCTAAGCCGTACCCGATTTCCTACCTCGCGGACGCCGAGTTCGAGACGCTCGACCCGGAACCCATGCCCGTGCCACAGAACGCGCGGATGGAGGTGGACACCGAGGGCGGTGGCAGCTCTGGCGGAGGCGATATGAAGGACGTCTTCGAGTCGTCCATGGACGCGGCGTTTCAAAAATTTGCGGACCGCATGGAGCAGAACCCGGAGCAGTGTATCCGCTACGAGTTCAACGGCACGCCGCTTCTGTACTCCAAGGCGGACGCCGTGGGCGCGAAGCTGGGCGCTGCTGCCGGCGGTGGTGGCATGACGCGGTGCGGAAACTGTGGTGCCAGGCGCGTGTTTGAGGTGCAGATGACGCCGCATGCCATCACCGAGCTCGAGGCGGAGGAGCTGTCGCTTGAGGGCATGGACTGGGGTACCATTATTGTCGGCGTTTGCGAGGCGGATTGTCAGCAGCGGGGTGTTGATGTTGGTGAGGCTGGGTATCTTGAGGAATGGTGTGGTGTTCAGTGGGAGGAGCTTTCGAAGCGATGAAAAAGTTATGTGCTACACGATGATGATAAAAAGGGGGCAAGCATGGACAAAAGTTTTGCAGCACATCAAAATAATGAGAAGAAGAAAAAGAAGCGTTTTACACGACATTTCAAACATTGTGGCATGTCTCATATTCAGGGATATACTCTATGGTCCCCGATTCCAAAGTCAAAAGTGAACGCCGGTAATTTTTGCCGCCATGCTCTCTTCCAGCCCTAACTCCATGTACGGAGCTATTAGCAGCCAAGGGTTGTGATACCAACCCTTGCGTCCCCTTCTTCTGTTCATCCCCACACCAAAGCCCAAGTCTGCGAGTTTCTCTTCTTGTTTTTCAAAAAAGCAATTCTTTTTACGCAGTCTCCTCCCATGATCTCCGAAGAATTCTCGAGAACATGTCGACGTTGACGTCCTCCCTGATCTCAGACTTCTTGGCCTCGTTCTCGGCGTTCTTGGGGATGGTAACGACGCCGTTGTCGCCGACGGTCCAGCCGGCGACCTCGGTGACGAACTTTGCGGTAGCGTCGCCGTCGAGACCGAGCCAGGACTCGAGCTGGGACAGGCTGACCTCACGGAAGGCCTGCGCGACCGAGTTGGCAATGTTGCTGCGGATGAGGTCCTCGAAGCCCGAGATGTCGGCAATGAGGTCGGCGCAGAGGTCGTCGCCGTCAATGGTGTTCCAGAAGCGAGCGTACTGGGAGCCCTCGAGCTGGCTGTTGAGGGTGCGCAGCTTGGCGACGGCCTCGTGGAGCTCGCCCTGGGCGATGGTGGAGGGGTTGATGAGGTGCAGGGCGAGGGTGAACTGCGGCGAGGGGAACTGGGTCATGGCCTTGACGAGGATGTTGGTGACGACCTCATCCTTGAGACGGTCGGGGTTGAGCTGGTACCTGGAAGGAGAGAGAAGACAAAGTGGTCAGCTGTCGAGTTCCATGATGATGCAGGCTCGAATCCAAATTATGTCTCAACATTGAGTTCCGGTATCGTTCAGTTAACACCATGTGCTGACTTCAGTTGCGACTGAGGGGTTCATGACGGAACAACCAGTGCATGTCAGGTAATAGGAAACGTTTACACGATCATCATATAAACCGGCGCAAGACCAAGCAAAGAGGTCTGATGCCGCCGACGTGTACAAAAAAAGACGCGTGGCGGTGGTCGGGTAGGTATATTGGAGGTTGCGACTCACAGCTTCAGGAGTGTCCGGTTCGCATTGCAGTCGCAGTACTTCTGCTCGCACTGCTCCTGCAGGTAGGACTCGAGGTTGACGACAGCCTCGGGGTTGTACCGCTCGAGGCCATTGATGATGTTGACAATGTAGTCGGGCCGCTCGGGCGGATCTTCGCCGTTCAACATGATTGCTGGTTTTATGTGCGGCGTGGGGGGGTGTGAGAGGGTGGTTTTCGAGGTTCGGCGGGTTAGGAGAGGTATCGTGGAGGGGAAGGAAGAAATCGGTGCCGCTGGTGGGGCTTAGGCCGCCCTGGCGAAAGATTTCCAAAAGTTCGAGTGTGTTGTTGTGTGGAAGTCGCTTGGGTCGTCAAATGAGGTTTAGCGCCGGAGCAAGGGGAAAGGTGTGGCCGTTTCTTCACCGTAGGTAAACCAGGACACCTTACCTAAGATGATGGATCCAAGGGTTTCGCTGACTAAGGAAGCAAGCTACAGGGGTGGCTGGGAAGGTGCACGTACCCTCTTGTTTGGTTCGCAGGCAGCGGCGTCATTGACTGAGACGGTTACAGGGGTGAGCTAAGGTCCCTCAGCGGACAGCTCGGTGATGAACTAACAACATTGAGCGGATGGAAAGAAAAAGAAGTAAAATTCAACCGGGCCGTTCGTGATGATAGAACGAAGCTTCACCTGCATCTGTTCTCACTAGAATCAGCATCCGAAGCTTTCCACGCACTAAGCTCCTGCATTGAACATCATCATCGCCATGCCCAGCCCAAGTAAAAAGAGGAAACTGAATGATCAGTCGTCAACCGGAGTGCCTTCGAGAGGTTTGGAATACTTCTTTTCTAAGCAGAAGCAGAACGGCACATCGTCACCGAAACCCACAACGGAACCTGCTCCTGAAGCTATACCAAATGGCACCGGATCCGCCGACCAGCAGCCGGAGTTGACGGATGAGGAGCTTGCCAGGAAGCTGCAAGCGGAATGGGATGCCGAGGTGCAAAATGAAAGAGCAGAATCTACGCCATGTCCCGAACCAGCAAAGGACCCAAGTTCACGGTCGAATGAGACTAATGGAGAGGAACCTATCGAGGCAAATTCTGGACTGAAAGGGTCGCTGACATCCTCGGTTCTGCCAATTGTTACACCAAAGACGAAGACGCTCTCACTATCTTCCGTGGCAAATGCTGAAGACACGGTTTCAGCAACCATTCCTCTGGACCAAAGCCCACTGACATTTGACCCTTCAGAATTTGTCCCTCAGTTGAAGGAATCATGGGCAGCTGAGGGAGGGCACGCTTCATACGCATTCCTCACCCGATGCTTCATCTTGGTATCCGCTACACAAAGTCGGATTAAGATTGTGGACACTCTAGTCAACTGTATCAGAGTACTGATTGAAGCTGACCCGGAGAGCCTACTGCCCGCGGTCTGGCTTGCAACCAATTCCATCTCGCCTCCTTACATCTCCTTAGAGCTCGGTTTGGGAGGGTCAGCGATTTCCAAGGCACTGAAGCAGGTGTGTGGATTAGACGGTCGCTCCCTTAAGACACTTTACGACAAGCACGGCGATGCCGGAGACGTTGCATTTGAGGCCAAGAAGAAGCAAAGCTTTACTCTGCGGAAACCGAAGCCCTTGACCATCAAGGCTGTCTACCAGTCACTAGTCAAGATTGCTAATAGCCAAGGTCACGGAAGCGGCGAAGCAAAGCAGAGAATCGTCGATCGACTTCTACAAGATGCCCGCGGTGGTGAGGAGAGCAGGTTCATTGTACGAACATTGTGTCAACATGTAGGTTTTGATTTTGTAACAGCCTTTATCATCAAATGCCTAACGTCGGTAGCTACGTATTGGTGCTGTCAAAACCACCATGTTGATTGCTCTTTCAAGAGCCTTCCTCCTTTCCCGACCCCCAGGGGCTGAGTTCCCACTACGATCAGTCAAGGACCTCCAAAAACTAAAGAAGGAAGAGCTCGCTGAAGTATGGAGCAGGCCAGAGGAAATACTAAAGGCCTGCTTCGCGCGGCGCCCCAACTACAACGATCTTGTACCCGTCTTGTTGGAAATTGGCGTCAGCGACGAGCTATTACTTCGTTGTGATTTAACGCTGCACATACCACTCCGGCCCATGCTGGGAAGCATCACGAGAGACCTTTCCGAGATGCTCACGAAACTCCAGGGCAGAGACTTTGCTTGCGAGTTCAAGTACGACGGCCAAAGAGCTCAGATTCACTGCGATGAAAGCGGCAAGATTTCCATCTTCTCAAGACACCTCGAGCTGATGACGGACAAGTACCCCGACTTAGTCGCATTGATGCCCAAGGTTCGCGGCGAAGGCGTCAACAGCTTTGTTATGGAAGGCGAAGTGGTGGCCGTGGACAGCGAGACGGGAGATTTGAAGAACTTCCAGACGCTGAGCAACCGCGCGCGGAAGGATGTCGCTATCGGCAGCGTGCAAGTCAACGTTTGCATGTTCGCATTTGACCTCATGTTTCTCAACGGACAACCCCTACTGAACCGGCCCTTTCGAGAAAGAAGAGAGCTTCTGCGGTCCATGTTTATCGAAGTGCCCCGCCAGTTCACCTGGGTGAAGAGCCTGGATGCCACATCGCAAGACTCGGATGCCGTATTGGAGTTTTTCAAGGCGGCAACCGATATTAAGTGTGAAGGCATTATGGTCAAAATCTTGGACAACTTGACAGATGTCCCCTACCAAAGTGACGGCGCAGTGGATGCCGATGGCGAGGTTGCCGAGGAACCCAGAACGCCTTCAAAGTCAAAATCACGAAGTAAAGGCGCCAAAGATGAGGAAGGCGCTCCCAAGAAGAAGGGCAGACGCAAGCCTCTCCTGGCCACATACGAGCCCGATAAACGTCTAGACTCGTGGCTAAAGGTCAAGAAGGACTATAACTCAAGCTTTGAGACGTTGGACATGATACCGGTAGCCGCCTGGCACGGACAAGGCCGGAAGTCCAAATGGTGGTCGCCGATCCTCATGGCCGTCCGCAATGAGGACAGCGGCGCCCTCGAGGTCGTGTGCAAGTGCATGTCGGGCTTTACAGACGCCTTCTACAAGGCGAACAGGGAACACTACGACGACGGCGAGCTTGCCGAGCGGCAGAATACGCGAACCCAGAAGCCCGCGTTTGTCGAGTACTCTGGTCCCGAGCCTGACGTGTGGTTCGAGCCTCAGGAGGTGTGGGAGATGGCGTTCGCGGACATCACTCTGAGTCCGACGTACACGGCCGCCATTGGGCTCGTCAGCGACGAGCGAGGTTTGAGCCTGCGATTCCCTCGATTTTTGAAGAAGCGCGAGGACAAGAGCATGGACGAGGCGAGTACGAATGAGTTTCTTGCTGGTTTGTGGAGGAAGCAGGAGGCGAAGGCGCCGACGAAGGAAGGACAGGCCGATGTTGTGGACGAATTTGAGGAATAAGACCAGATCAGTAGTCGAGGGGTTGGTCGGCAATCTTGCTTTATGTTACGATAGAGTTAAGGACATCATTGTGCTTCAGTGGCCACGGGATCGGCGGGAATGCACGATATGGAGGGGTCCTCGGAGCCGATGTCTTCTCCTGGTGATGTTCGGAGATAACTCCAGCGGCTTGCCTCTTCGCCTTTCTGGCTGCTTGGCACCGTCAAATGACCAGAGAATCCGGGGTTTGAGGAGTAGGTGTTGTTGACAGGGACAGGAAGTTAAGATCAACAAATACACCACAAACATTATTTTTTCAGAATAACCAGCAGCTCGTGGCCATACTCGGGCGCGAAAACCCTGTAACAAGGCGAATCATTAAACGAGTCTTTTCGAGTCCATCTCGCATGGGCCGGCGAGATAATGTCTTCATATGAGAAGGTCACGCAGCCCGAGGCGTATCCGTTGAAGAGGACTACTCATTGTCCGAATAATGATCTTCCGGTCCTTATATATCGTAATGTTCTCCAGCCACTCAACGAGGAGAGCGCATCAGAAATACTTCAACGTCACGGCTGGGAGAAGAAGGTAAGAATGCTAATTTAGCAAGTCTTCATATACACATTCGATGGATTTGCTAAGAGATCCTTCTACATATAGGGAACCTGGGGCACCATCAGTTTGAAGCATTTTCATCCGAATACGCATGAGTGTTACGGCAAGTCCATTAGCTCCGCTGAAACATTCATCTCTATTAACTTGTGAAGCAGGCGTTTTCCAAGGCAGCTCCGAGCTAGTCTTCGGTGAAGGTGTTTCGGATGTATTCGGCAGCGGAGTTCGATGTGTAGTTCGAGCCGGCGACGTCGTCGTTGTCCCAGCAGGCGTGGGGCATGCGTCTGTCTCAAAGGCGGAGGGAGCAACGGATCCTGTTGATGGAGAGCCCGAGTATCGATACGTTGGAGTGTATCCCAAAGGTTCACCTCATTATAAATACGAAATCGGCAAGAAGAAGTTGGAGGAGAAGAGCGGGTTGATAGAAGAGGTTTCCGCTGTTCCCGTACCGCCCAATGATCCCTTATACGGGCTTGATGGGCCGCTGGTGAGGATTTGGAATAACTCAAGAGGGATATTCACGTCTGTTGGGGAGGCACTCGAAGAGAGCAACTTATGATGGTGGGGTATAGTTACGACTTGAGATGGACGTGGAGAAGGACGTTTCCGTATTGGCCAGGGGTATTATCCGCAGCCGTCCCCTGCAAAGCAGAGGATCAAATAATGTTATTGATATCATTGACCTGTGTTCAGGGAGCCTGGCGCGGTGCTTTTTCGCATCGCATTGCCTGCGACTATAGTAGCACTTGCACATCTTCCACATATTCTTTGTGCCTTCAGGTGACTCATCAATCTGATATCATGCTCGTATCCTCGCTCCAGCAACGGCTATGAGTCTCAGTAAGTCGTGGGCCGGCCGTACCAGGGCCTGACCCTGTCCTCAACGAGCACCACTCTCCCAGTTGCCGTTGGAAGAGGCCACCCGCATATGTTCAACTTCGTCCTTGCAAGCGCGAATTCCCTGTCATCCTGCGGGATATGTCTCGCACGACTAGTCTCTTCGTCGGCCTGTGAATCTCTTACGGATGGCGTTGTTGCGGGGCGCATCAACTTGGACCGCAAAGCTCCGGAGCAGGCTTTGCGAACCTCTGGATACCCAACGCGGCGGGCAGTCGTCGAGAAGCTCGGCATCTGTGGTTCAATCTAACCAACACTATTGACTGACTGCGCTGATTCATTTTACAGCATTCATTCTCTGAGCAATCAAGCTGAAGATAGTCACAGAGCTCATGAAGAGGACTGCATTGTAGAACTGCACGACTGATAAGTTTAGGGACACCA